TCTCTTTGTGCGGCTTACAGGTACAGTACTATGCAATCATAGTCGTTCTCTCACAGACTGAAGACCTCTCTTTGTGCGGCTTACAGCCTTCCAGGTTCAGAGTTCATCACACGGATCGGTTTAAGGTAAAGCACTTGCATGTGCGATTGCGGCCACACAAGGAATGGCGAAGCCGTGCAAGTGTCTTGAGGTCTGCGCAACACTGAGAGCCACCTTGCCGCAGGATGGGGAGTGGAGTCATGATATGAGCCAAAGCAAGTCTGATTGCGGTACTTACCTGGTAGAATGGCGGAGAGCGGCCGCTGGCAGGATTTTCGAACAAGAGGCACCCAGTGAAAGTTGGCCATGTGGGTGGCCCCCGCGTGGTGCCATTGGCTGCGGTATCTGCCGAAGCAGTCGGGCGTCTTCGGGCGCCTGCAATTCTCATAGTACTCAGTCTTCAGACCACACATGGATCTGGACGTCTGGACCTTTCTCCCCTCATCTCCCTCTAGCTTTCCTCTAGACCTCGTGTATCAAATGTCCTTGCGTATGCTCTTGAGCACGCAGATCTTGTACCCGCATCTGCCAAAGCCCGTGTTCGCACGTCTCACCGCGGAGAAACAGTCTCCGCATGTTATAAACAATTCAAGCTCGCATCGATGCGTTGTTCGCCGAAACAGCGGACCATGACTGCAAGTACCTCATCACGCGAAAACAGTACAACGCATCCAACGGTCCCACTTGGCCCTGCTCTTTCGCACCGTCCAATCCCACACATGCCCGGTCCGACCGCCGACGCGTACGCACCTGAGGCACGCGCGCGACCTCGTCCATACGACCCTGTGTACTACATCCACCTTATCCCCCCGCGCCTCCGAGTTCCCAGCCAATTCGACTATAAATAGAGGCGCAGCGTGGGGAAGGTACGCATACGAATCCTACACTCACAGGCTAATCTGGTAGGACACGTAGCGACTCGTCTTTTACGAAGGAGGGAGGTTGCGAGGAGGACACGGGTGTACTACATGACTAGGCCCACGTACCTCCTGAGAGTGCTCACTACCCACTAATCGCCTCACGCGAAGAGTCTGTGAGCTCTAAGCGTGAAAGGTTCCTTGTCCTTTTTGACGTCCTATCAATTTGATCACAGATGTACATGTGTACATGTGCTTCCTTCGATTGTTCCAGCCTGCGTGGTTCTGAAGTTCGGCGCGCAGCACCGGCGTTCTTCGACTCTAACAACCAGCACGACTACGCCAGGCGTTCTGGCATTCAGACTTGCGCCATGAGTCGTCCACTTGACTGGCTTGGACAGATTCAGCAAATACCTCTCACGGCGTCTGGTCTCACTATTGCGTCCGTCAGCCAAAGGTGCGTTCGCTTTCTGCCCGCCCGCGCTTGAGCTAACAGCAAGAGCAGTCCGTGGCTCGACTCCTTGGGCATACCCGCATACTGCGCCATCCTTTCTGGCGCACTGCTTCTGTTCCCTGCCGTCGGTAACACCATACGCAGACGGCACTCACCCGATGCCATTCTAGTGTCAAGCGCTCAGGCACAGCCGTCACCGTCCTTCCTTCACCGACGCGTAGAATCCGCGGGCAGCGTCACGATCTTTGTGTTCAGATTACTGCAGCTTTTGAGCGTCCTCGCATTGCTCGTTCTATCGGTGCTCGTTCCCCTACGTGCTGTCAGTCCACACGCGCGTGTCGCCGGCCCGTTTGCCATGGTTGACATCGTTCGGACGGCCCTCTACGTACGTAGACCATCAGCAGTCCAGTTGGTCCACTTACGCAACTTGTGTACAGGTCTATCTCGCGGCACTTTCCGGCATCGCTACCTTTGGTACAGCCAAGGTCGTATTCCGCGCTTTCGTACACGTATCGCTTATCCTCTCGGTGGTGTGGGGTGTGTACATGTACCGCGATGTTTGGCCATCTGCCACCGTGGATTTGCCCATCACGGATGCAAACGAAGGTGTATTTTTGTGGGTCAAGATCGGTCTGGTTTTGTTCAGTGGGGTCTTGATCCCTCTGTTGTGCCCACGGAACTACGTCCCTATCTACCCCGAAGTACGTACAGGTATTTCAAGGTAATGACAGGGTGCTGAACATGATTTATTCTCATAGGATAACCTAGAGCTGCATCCGGAGCAGACAGCATCGCTGCTGTCGTTGCTCACCTACATCCACGTCGAGCCACTCATTTGGCTCGCGTGGCGTCTCCCCCGGGTGACGTACGAGATGTTGCCGCCATTGCCCGAGTACGACCACTTGAAGCACTTGGTCCGGCGTACCTTCCCTGTATGTGACCCTTGTTGGCCGTACATGTAGAAAACTTCCTGACGTTGGCTGCTTAGCTCCTGGACCCGATGCAGAACAAGTCGCGCAGACATCTAGCGCTGGATTTCATCAGCGCCTTCCGTGAGGCGGATTTCGCACGGGAATCGCGCGTTCTTCAGATCTAATGGAAACTGTAGGGATGGAATTGCTAAATCTTGCTGCTATGTCGATCGCCGCTGTGAGTATGACACTGATTGTAAGGGTTTGCGCTGACTCATGTTCCATAGGTGCTCGCTGCGTTTGCCGCGCCCATCAGCATTAACCGACTGCTCAGGCAAGCGACTGCAGCCTTGCCTCATCTCCCCGGCGCGTGCTTACCCGCTCCCTCGTAATGCAGTTACCTAGAATCAGACCGCAAAGAGACCCACGTCCGGCCTTGGTTCTGGATTGCCCTATTCTTTTTCGGTAGGGTGTTCAAGGATATTTCCGACCAGTGGTTCATGTACCATGAGGTATGTCTTCATGCTCTCCTCATATCCCCGTATGGTACTCACGAGATGGCTAGTCGCGTTTAAGCGTGCGCATCCAGGCGGTCATTACCGAGCTTGTCTTCGAGCACGCCTTGCGCGTTCGCATGAAGGCAGAAACTTCGTCCGACACGTCGGAAGCGACACCGTGCGCGGCCAGCACCACCGTCGCGACTCCCGAGGACGCGTCTCAAGCCAGTCTCGAGGGCTCGCAGGACGACGAGGACAGTGCCGAGGGCTCGGGGGAGCGCTCTGTGGCTGAGAACTCGAGCACGGCTGTGCCGCCGAGCGCGACCAGCTCCACCAAAGGGAAGGGCAAGGCATCTTTGGAGAGCGAATCCCCGGTAAAGGAGGCAGAGCCCGTCGGTGTGGGCGAGATGCGCGGCAGCAAGCATCTCGTCGGGAGGATCAACAACCTGGTCTCGAGCGACCTCAGCAACTTCGAGAACCTGGGAATGTTCATCGCCTTTATCGGTACGCGCTCGTTCAGCACCACGGGCGTTTGGATGCCGCTGATGCATCGCGTAGCGATCGAGTGCCCCCTCCAGGTCGTGCTTTGCATCGTGTTTCTGTACCAGATTCTCGGATGGAGGTACCCACATGTCTACCTTGCTGCTTAGCGCTTGTGGCTCACGAGGGTACTGTGCAGCGCTCTTGTTGGGTTCGCTGCAATGATCGCCACAGTTCCGCTCCCCGGATACGTCACGAAGCATATCCAGGGTGCCCAGCGGGACAAGATGAAGCGGGTAAGCTCCTTTCCTTTCTCTCTTTGCGATAAGGAGACTAAACGATACGGGCTTCTCTGTGTAGACCGATGCTCGCGTCCAGGCAGTCACTGAAAGTTCGTTGCTACCCTGCTCGTCTGTGAGGACGGGTCACTAAAACTTCTTTATGTAGTGATGAACGTTATCCGCATGGTGAAGCTGTTCGGTTGGGAGCCGCGTATGGCAGCACAGCTCGACAAGAGACGTGAGGAAGAGCTCGTGGCGGTGCGCAGAAGCAAGCTGCTCAGTCTTTCAATCAACATGTGCAAGTGCGCGGTATTTTCTTCAGAAATAATCACATCAAACATATCGAAGCGAGTACACTGACGCTTTACTTAGCTACTTGATCCCCGTCGTTATCATGCTGTCTACATTCTTCACCTACACTGTCATCATGAAGCAGGAGTTGACGGGTAAGCCCGTTTACTTCGTCCAATCGAATGCCATCTAACCTCCGTACAGCGTCCCGAGTGTTTTCTGCGATGGCTGGTGAGCATCCTTTTGACACGGCAGCACAAACCTGGGTACTGATCTGAGATCGCAGTCTTCGCCATGCTTCGTGATGAGCTGAACGCCTTGTTCTACATCATACCTCAGCTGGTGCAAGGTTCATATATCATCTCCTAGCTCTCGTTCGATTGCGTTGCTAAGCATATCTTCCTGCTCTCTAGCGAAGGTCTCCCTAGAGCGACTCTCTGACTTCTTGCGCAACGTGAGTGAATGGCACCTCAGCTCATCGCACACACCCAAGCTGACGATCCGCCAGACAGAGCTCATCGACGAGTTCGATACACACAAGGACACTGAAACCGAGATCTCGTCGAACGTAGCGCACGAGTGCAAGGACGCCATCGGTATTCGCCACGCGTCGTTCACCTGGTCTAAGGACTCGGCGCCATCGCAGACCCCGGGAGAGACGCGTCGACGGACGTTCGTACTCAACGTAGACGAAGAGCTGATTTTCCAGAAGGGCAAGATTAACCTGATCATTGGTGCTACCGGCGCGGGGAAAACGTCGCTGCTGATGGCGTTGCTTGGTGAGCCATCTCCTGCGTTACTGTGGAAAGGAGCTGACGTGAAAGCACGGATGTCAAGGCGAGATGCACTATATTCCTGCGGGTTCGGATTCGTTTGTGAAGCTCCCGAGAGAGGGCGGTGTTGCGTACGCTGCTCAAGAGTCCTGGGTGTTGAACGACACCATCAAGGTATGATGTTGTTTGAACGACTTACCCTCTTGAAGATGTGGCATCTGACAAGATCACAGAAAAATATCGTCTTCGGAGCGCCATACGACGAGGCCCGGTACAATAAGGGTACGTGAGGATATGCCACTTCAGTATTGTTACAAGATCTGACGTGCATCCTGTCTTGTAGTCCTCGAGCAATGTGCCTTGAAGCGCGATCTCACCCTGTTCGATGCTGGCGACCTGACCGAAGTGGGCGAGAAAGGTATTACGCTGAGGTATGTGCATGCTGCGGGTTCGCGTCTTCACACAATGGCTTACCTTAGTGTATTCACAGTGGTGGCCAACGGGCTCGGATCACGCTTGCACGTGCAGTTTACTCTTCTGCGGATATTCTTCTCCTCGACGACGTCAGTAATACTCTCGCAGCATTTTGTGGCTAGTGCTCATTCTGCTCGCTATATAGATCGTGGCGGCGCTCGATGTGCACACCTCGAAGTGGATTGTCGACAAGTGCCTCAAAGGCGAACTCCTTCAGGGACGTACCATCATACTCGTCGTAAGTCGGTGTTACCTGTCGGGTTCAAAGGAGCGGTCACCGATGTATTCTCGGACCAGACGCACAATGTCGCTATGGTCAGTCCTGTTGCGGACTTCGTCGTCGATATGGGCTCCAACGGGCGTATCTTGAGCCAAGGCTCCCTCGCCAGCGCGCTGGAGCGCGACTCAAAACTTCTCACCGAGGTAAAGGAAGAACGCGCAGAGATAGAGAAGGCCGAACAGGAAATTGCACCTGAGAAGGTCGAGGACGCAGAGGCTAAGCCGACCGTAGGAAAGCTCGTTGTTGCCGAGGAGATGGAAGACGGACATGTTGGGTGGTCAGCATGTGTGTATATCCCGAATCTCTTGGCTATCGATAAGTCGCTGACGGCAGTTTGCAGTAAAACTATACATCGGCAACATGTCGAAGAGGCCCATCCTATTTTGGCTCATTTATATGTCTGGCAACATCACGAAGCACATGATCGGTACCAGTCAAGTATGGGCAGCCTGTGCGTTAGTTTGGATGTGTTCTGACCTGTGCGACGCAGACCTGGTACCTCGGTCACTGGGCCTCCCAGTACGAGACTCACCCGGCAGGCGAGGTTCGCGTCGGACAGTAAGTCAATCCTTGTGCATGTTCTTCGGGGTACACAACTCATTCCTATCAGCTACTTGACTGTTTACACGCTCTTAAACGCGTCTTGGATGGCGGCCGCCGCATTCTGCGTGTCCTACTATGTCTTCGGAAGCATCAGGTCCGCCAGGATCGTTCATCAAAGGCTCGTCACCTCGGTCCTGGGCACTACTCTACGGTTTGTCTATGCAACTTCGTTGAAGTGGAGGTATTGACCAAAAACGACGCAGCTGGCTGGATAAGACCCCGACTGCCCGCATCGTCGCTCGGTGTACCGAAGACATCCAGACATGTTCGTGCATACCGACGTACTAGCTCCATACGCCTCTAACCCAAACGCGTGTCATCGTAGTGGACAACCGAATCGCGAGAGCGACCGAACTCCTCCTCGAACTGGTCGTTTACATGCTCCTGAAGATGTTCGCCGTCGTGGTGTTTTCACCCATCTTCATTGTCCCAGCCATCATGGTTGCCGTCGTAGGTGGCGCATGCGGCAACCTATTCATGAAAGCGCAGTTGTCCGTCAAGCGCGAGCTAAGCAACTCCAAGGCGCCGGTATTGAGCCACTTCGGCGCTGCTATCGGAGGTATCAGTGAGTACTCGTTTGGTGAAATCAATCTGCTTATGCATGACTAAGTCTTTGTAGCGTCGATCAGGGCATATGGTGCGCAGGAGGCCTTCAAGCAGATCTCATTTACTAGGTTCGATAGGTGCACACGTGTATCTGTTACCCATCAAAACCTCGACCGGTCAGTGACATTCATCTTTCTTAACTTCCCGCTGACTGGTTACGTGTAGGTGGGTGTCAGCGCGAATCGATCTAGCTGGGACCTTTTTCGCAACCGGCCTCGCCATTTACCTCACGTACATATCGAAAATGAGCGCCGCCAATACCGGTTTCTCGTTGAACCAGGCCAGTGAGTACACGTCTCCTGCTTAGCTAGATTACTCTCCTGATGGAGTTCGTTGCCCAATAGTGGCATTTAGTGCGATCATATTCTCAGTGATAAGGTCTTACAACGACTTCGAAATCGCAAGTACGTCCGCGCTCAGAGGTTTGTACGTCTCGGAGATTGATGTGTTTTTCGATAGGCAACAGGTTTGGGCCTCCGCGTGTACCCATCTCTGATTAAGAGATACTTACTGCGTTTTGTACAGTCTGGAGCGTATAGATCAGTATTTGCGCATCGAGCAGGAGCCGAAGAACACCCCTGAGGGCGTGCCTCCTGCGTATTGGCCGGCAAGTGGACACCTCTCAGTCGAGAAGCTCTCTGCACGCTACTCAGAGGTGTGTCGGGTTCCCTGCGCTCATCTTCGTGAACCCGTCTTACAATACTTTCCAGGACGGCCCGCGAGTGCTACATGACATATCTTTCGACGTAGCCTCCGGAGAACGTATTGGTATTGTCGGTCGTACTGGGAGTGGAAAGGTGCGTTATGCTTGCGTCATGCTGCGATAGAGTTACACCTCATCGGACCACAGAGCTCGCTCACACTCTCGCTGCTGCGTTGTATCTTTACCGAGGGTGATGTCCGGTACGATGGGCTATTGAGTGCGAAGGTTAACCTGGACGCTCTGCGCTCCAGCATGACTATCATTCCACAAGTGGTCCGTCGCCTCGCTTCTCTCATACGTTTGGTGGTATGCGCTGACGAGCATCCTCCAGCCTGAGCTTCTCAGCGGGACTCTTCGCCAGAACCTCGATCCGTTCTCAGAGCACGACGACGCCGTGCTCAATGCCGCACTGCGCTCCGCCGGCTTGACCAACCTACAGAACGAAGAGGACCACTCCCGTATCAGGCTCGACACGGAGATCGCGGGTGGTGGTGCGAACTTGTCTGTTGGGCAGCGTCAGATCCTCGCTCTCGCTCGGGCCATCGTGAGGAGGAGCAAACTTCTAATTCTTGACGAAGGTACCCTCTTCGATTGCACGGAGGTTCGCGTTGCTAACTACTTCCTCCAGCGACGTCCGCGATTGGTTCGTTCCAAGGCTTCCTGAATTATATAGCAACTAATACTAATGCGGATGAACAGACTACGAGACGGACTCGATAATCCAGGCATCGTTGCGCACTGAACTTGGCAAGGACGTGACCCTACTGACAGTTGCGCATCGCCTACAAACGATCATGGACTCCGACAAGATCGTGGGTTGCTTCTCTTTGTTCTCCTACTAGCTCCGCTGAACCCACCTCCTTTTTAGATGGTCCTCGACGCTGGACGTATTGTAAGTACTTTCAGGGTGCTTCATGGATCCACGCGTGGTTGACATGTACAATACCACACAGGTCGAGTTTGGCAAGCCTAACGAACTGCTCCAGAACGAGAAGGGCCTGTTTCGCGCTCTGGTAGACGAGAGCGGGGACAAAGAGAAACTACACGCGATGGCAACGGGTGCGTCGTCGTCGTAGTCATGATAGTTCTATTTGGAGACGGTCAGTTCGAGGTACAACTCCTGCAGCGGGCGCCATCGGAGGAATTCGTCCAGGTCACGCCTCGGCCGCGTGAAATATTCGATAGTCAAGGACAAAAAAAAATCGGAAAGATGTATGGGAAGTCGGACACTGTTTCGGTGGGTTTTGTGAGGTGGGGGTGACGGAGGGAAGCCGGGTATCGGGTCTTCGAACGGACGGCAGTTCGCCAGAAATCCACGGATGGCTCGAAGCCTCCGAGTTCGAGAGTTTGAAGCCGCGTGTGTTTTTCGAGAACTTTGAATAGTGCGATGTCGGTGGCGGTTGATTGGGGCTATAGCGTTGTGCAGGTGTGGTCGAGCCGCAGCTTTACGAGAGACCCGCTCATCATGGATAAGGTCATACAGAGACACGGCGACCAGGTTAGGCATGGTCACGAGGGCGTTGCCTGCGCGCGGGTCTCCAAGCAGCCACCGCACATATAATATTTCGAGGCGGCGTAGACTGTTCGCTCCCGCTAGGAGGTCACAGCCTCCGCTCAGCTGGGCCAGCTGAGCGGATTCGTTGAAACTTCCGTCTGCCATGATACCGTAAATTTTCCAGCTAAGCTTCAGTAATGTCAGGTCCTCTAGTTGTCGAACGCGCGGCTGGGTCCCTTTTAGCATGTAGTCGTCGAGCGGCAGGAATTGTTCCGAGTGAAAGCAATGTGCAACCGCAGCAACGCGAGGAACAGCGAGGTCATGTAGACGTATTGAGGTAAGCGCAACGCCGAGGGCTTCCTAGGCATACATGGGAAGGAGAAGATTGCCAGTAGAGCGTCATCGTCGAGCCAAAGCAGCCCCATTTGTTTGGACATGACTTGCGGGTGCTTGACAGCAATGAAGGTGAATTTTACTGCTGCAAGTGACGTAGGAGGTTGGCAAGTTCACGACCATCCGAATCCTATCGCCACGCCGTTATCGATACCTCATCATGTAGCGCCGAACGGTATCCCGTGAAATGCCTCATCAAGCAAACAGAGATGTTTCGCGACGCGCGATTTCTCGTGGGGTAGTACCAATCAGCAATGGATCAAGTTTCAAGGCCGAAGCCCACACGAGAGCCCCCTGGAGTAAGGTCAAACGAGCTCCACCCGAGGTAGGACAAACGTGTTGCGAATCAACTCTAATTGTTGGAGCGCCCCTCCCTGAGGAGTGCAGCCCATTGCGGTAGATGTGCAACCAAATCTACATAGTACGTTGCGTACGAGTTCATGATAGCGCAGAAAGAGTAATGCAGGCGTCCACTGCTCGTACGGAGAATGGCTGCCGCAATGTTAACGTACATCTTACTCACAGCCTTAGGGGTTTGCGCAATGTGACATGCGGCAACGGCCACCTAAACGATGTGTTCCCGGAGGCGATCTGATCGACCGCGCCCTAGGGGCATGCGCCGGAGACCCAGTATCCGGATAACGCTAGTACGCCATGGGAGGGGCCGAACTCGTGGAGGAAATGTATTGCTGAACCAGGGCATCTTGAGTGAACGGTGGCCTGGTATGACGGTGCTAGTGATCGCGACGGGTGATTTGGTTCTGTGGCATTCTGAAGTCAATACAATACAATCAAAGTTGTGGGGCTCACTACGCACGACCATTGAATGAGCGCTGCGGAGCAATGCAGCACAGCGGGAGCGGCCGTGCCCCGACACGAGTCGATCATACTCGCAGATTGTGTGCGATCTGCACGGCTTTGGATCTTAAGGCGCAGATTGGCACGTACCAGATCTTTCGAGTGCGAATAGCTGAAGCAGTGTCTCCTGGGGTGTATTTTCGGCGAGAATGAAGAGCAAGGGTTGACAGGGGGTTCCGGGGACTTTAGGTCGACAGAGTGATACTTAATCCGCAAGACATCTTCGAGGCCCGGTGAAGGTCGCACTAGTTATTGGGTATGTCTGAGCGTAAAAGTGAGAGTAGGGCGGTATAAGAGGAGATGGGGGCTCGGGCTTGCAGAAGGCAGAAAGCGAGAGAGCAAGATGGCCAGGGGCGACGAAGGGACGAAGAGTGCACTGAGCGCTAATTGGAACTCAGGCACCGGGGAGGTAAGTGGCTGTGCGAGTGCCACGCGGCCGAAACGTGGGATCGGACCATCGGTTCCGTTGGTTCCGAACGTTGCCACCTGAACGAACCTTCGCCAGACTCGCTCACTCGCGGCCTCCCTCTCCCTCTCCATCCGTTCCACTCTGACAAATTACCATTACATTGCGTGGGCAACATCCTTCTGTTCCTGGATGTTCTCCCTCGGGGGATCTTCTGCATACCGCCAAGCGAGTAGGATCAAGATAACGGTGTCTTGCAACGACCAATAAGTATTCGCTCGTGGTACGTTGTGTCAAGCGGTTGCATCTGACTATATTTTTACCATTACGAGCGCATACTAAGCACAGGTTTACAGGACATAGCATCCGTCATATCTCCACGTGCAAGGTCGTCAGGATGCGGCGCAGTGCCCTCTGCGGATATGAGTCCACACCGCGCCTGAGGGCGGAGAGTATGACGTGTTTGAGTGTTGTGCAACGACGCTCGGGGAGGGCTCAGTCGCAATCCTGGCGCCTGGCGATTAATTCTTTCGCCGACTAACCAACGACGAACCTTGACGGAGCACCGGCCGCGGCGACCTCCCCCATAGGTGGACGTCTTACCGATACCTACGCCGCGCTCGCGCAGTGGCTGTGCGGCCGCTCGGACACTGGCGGCGCTGGTGGTCGATCAATTATGGAGAAGTACACGCGCTGCCACTCGCCCTGTGTTAAGAGGCTTACCAGCTTTGGTCACCTGGTGAGTTCATTAAGATCCGGCGCAGACGGTAAATTGCGCATTGGGCAGCGTTAGTACCGGGCTAGCGCCCCCCATCATAAGCCGGAGACAAGGACCGCTCGAAGGCTGTCCGTGGGTAGCCCATGTGGCGGAGACCAATCTGAGGCACGACATTGCATCCGCAACATGACGGCACCGACGGTTGTCGGCCCTTTCGGCTGTTTTCTCTGCATTCACACAAGTGCAGTGTCTGGACGTGCGGTGGCCCACAGCATACAGGGTACGCAGCAGTATCCTCGAACCACACCAATCGGGTAAGGTAGATGCTCTGCCGCTACTGATGACAATAATGCGAACGCCTTATCGGTGCAGGCTAGCCGTTGCAGCTAGCGGGCGACAAACATGCCGTGATGGTGAGCGTCATGTTCGATTGGCGGCCAATGGTTCAATAGGCTCTATGACAGACGTACAGTCCACGTTCACGGGATGCCAACTCTGCGGCGTCGATGACTCTACGTGGCTAGCACCAGGGGCAGTCGCCGCGCCCCTGCAATGGAGGCAAACTCCCGGGTCGGTTTAACCGCTCGAATGCAAACGCGAACAGGCCGTCGTGGCACTTTCGAGCGCGAATACGAGTTGTCCCACGCCCTCGTCCGGCGTCCCTCCGGTGCTACATCCCAAACCGCCGGCATGCTACATCGCTTTGGGTATTGCTACTGCGACATCGTACAGCTAAGGAAACGCTCCGGCCTCCGGGCGCAGTTAGTGATATGGCGCTCTACTGCATCGGCGTAGCGTGAGTCACTTGGCCATTATTGGTGACCGGAACTGATTTCCACTCCAGTAGCGTGTTTGGGCAAACTCATCGTCCTATGACACTGTTCTCTTCCCATTGCCGATGTTGGCGCTGCTACTCATCATTCCTGGCCAAAACCCGGGCGGTCGGTGCGACGGTTAGGGACCACAGTGGGGCAGATGTCTGTGTTTGCACCCCTTGCTGTCCTGAAGCGGAACCAGAGGAAACAAGATTGCCAGTTACCCGATAGATCGGCTAGCAGACCAAGGTATGCTATGCGCCAGCACCTACCTGTGGGGACAACGGCCGAGTATTTAGAGTGCGAAGAGTGGCCCTGAGGTTATCATCCAACCATTCCCTTCTCATCCTCACCCCGCACTACACTACCAATGTCTCGCTCTCTTCGTCTTCCTGATACTCTGTCGCAGTGGCCCTACCCGCGGCGCATTAACCCCGCCTACGAGGAGGTTTCTGCTGAATCTGCGGCATGGTTGCGGTCATTCCACGCATTCTCCAATGAGGCACAGGTCGCCTTCGACAAGTGCAAGTTCGGTGAGTGGGTTTGACCTTTACGCGTGCCACCAAGCTAACGGCGTTCAACAGGTCTTTTGGCCTCTTTGACGTACCCCAACGTTGACAAAGGTACGTTCCCCGTTGCATTCGACAGTATCCGCCCGCTAATTGTTGCTCGTCGCCAGATCACCTGCGCGCCGCCTGCGACCTCATGAACGTCTTCTTCGTTTTCGACGAGCAGACGGACATCGCGGACACGGCACGTACCCGCGAGCTCGCGGACATCGTTATCGACGCTGTGCGCCATCCGGATCGCCCCCGTCCAGAAGGGGAGCCCGTTGTCGGAGAAATTACGCGGCAGTAAGTGCGCCTACCGGGCTGCGGCGGCGACGTGCCCTGTTCCCCGGAACTGCGCTAACCATTCCGGGCGTGCGCAGATTCTGGGCCCATGCGTGCGTGAACTCTACCGCGTCTGGGCGGGCGCGGTTCGAACAGGAGTGGGCGCGTTACGTCGAGTCCGTCGTCGGGCAGGCGGAGGACCGCGATGCGGGCCGCCTTCGCACGACTGAGGAGTACCTCGAGCTCCGAAGGTTTACGATTGGAGCCGACCCGAGCTACGCGCTCGCGATGGCCCGAGTGGACCTGCCACTCGCGGTGTCCGAACTCCCTGTCTTCCGGAAGCTCCGCGGGTGCATCACGGATATGCTTATATTTGATAATGTAGGCGTTTACCGTCTACGGCTACCGGATTGCTTTGCTGACTTTTGCCGCCACAGGACCTGCTTTCGTACCGCAAGGAGTACGCCGCGGGGGACGACATGCACAACATCATCACGCTAGTCATGAACGAAAAGCAGATTGACGTGGACGCCGCGGTCGAATGGCTCGCCGCGGAGCACGCCAAGCGGGTGGACGAGTTCTTCGTCCTGTGGCCGCAGGCGTCGGCGATGTCCTTCGGCTCGGACGAGCTCAATCAGGCGGTGGCGACCTACTTGGACCATCTCGTCAACTGGCCCCGCGGAGATGAGTGCTGGAGCTTCGAGAGCGGGAGGTACTTCGGGAAAGACGGCGCCCGCGTCAAGAAAGAGAGGGTCATCGAGCTCAAGACTAGAGATTAAAGAGGGCGATCGTCCGTTTAGTTGCCGACTTCGTGCTTCAGCATCTATCCGTATCCTTACACTTTACACTAATTTCGAACGGTATTCCCCAGTAGTAATCACAGTCCCCATTCGTAGCCGTCAGGCACTCACGTACATATTTTCACCATTGTAGTACGACGTCACTCTGTATCAATCACCCTTTCAATCCGAACACCTTCACGTTGACTTGGTTACACCCGCACGCCCGCACACGCGCACACGCGCCCCCGCCGCAATATCCACACAGATGAAACTGGCGCGCCTACACCGCCAGGGTTCCGGTGGCGGCGGCGGCGGTGGCTCTGGAACGCCCGCCGGTTGCCTTACTCATCCGCCACAGCGACGCGCCCAAACACATCACGGAGGCCCGAGAACTGCATTTGGCTTAAATATTCGCGCTCGTGTGGCCACACGCCGCGCGAGGTCATGCGTCCGAATACACACCCCCGCCGATACGAGACGATACTAACAGCGCGGCGATGCGTTCGACCTCCGCCGCGGCGCGCAGGAGATCGCGGACGGTGCACTGGGTTCTCGGGCTTGTCGGAGTGGTCGCCGGAGATCGATGGGCGGGTGCGGTTGGACGAGCGTTCGGCGCGCGCCTGGGGTACAAGCGCGAGCTAGAAGGTCCGGCGGGCGGTCCGGGTACGTGCCATGGGGTTGGATGGGGTGAATGGGCAAGAGGTGACTGGTGAGGCAAAGATTGGCTGCGTATGACGGCAGCTGCTCGTCGAGGTATTTGCAGCAGCGCAGAGAAGTGTTCCGTAGGGGAAGAAAGGCCCAGATAGTAGGCTGAATGGCCCCAGGACTGCCGCCGGTACGACTCCTAGGCTCCTAGGCTCGTCGTCGTGCTTCCCGTCAGGTTTGGCATAGTTCTTACGGACCGATCAAGAAATGGGACCTATGCCGGCTACGGAGTGGATATGCGTGGCAGCAGACGTACCTCGATAGGATTTCGTGTTTCTCTTTTTGTAACATGAAGGAGAGCCTCTCACGCCGCTGAGCAGCCCTGGTCACATTCAAGCTGTCATATATCACACACGAAGCTTCTGCCGCTCTCGTACATGTGTCTCTTCCCACAAGATTCCGGTGTAGAAGGACCACGCCATGATTTCGGGGACAACGCCATGACAGAAGGAATGAGCAGCAGTGGATATCTGACGACGGACTTGAAAACGTCAAAGGTGACGATTAAGCGCAACCACCCCCGGAGTGCTCTCGCACCGGCGACGCACGTTCCTTGTGGAGAAGCCTACCTCATGTACGGCTCGTCGCTTTGAGGAAAGCCCTACGAGTTAGTAAACGGCTATCAGTACACGCATAAAACTCGTGCCATCGCCCACTGTGCGCACCTGCAGTTGCGTTGAGGACGTAGAGCCGAGAATGCACGTTTGCCATTTATAACGCAATGTCTACCGCCTGCAGTGACAGTACAGCATTCTTCGACGCTCAGTCATCAGTCTACGCGTTCATGGCAGAGGTCTATCCCCACAGAGCGTCGTTCTCGCGTCGCAGTTTATCCATGTTGTACCGAATTGCATGGCGTGTCTCTGCTTCTTGAGGGCATGACAGAACAGTATCCCTCGCAGCGAGGGGTCGCCGTGGAGTGAGGGTATCCGGTTGAAAGGTATCGAGTCTGCAGACGTTGAGTTATCTTATCCCATTCGTCGTCTTGGAGCCATTGCAGGAGCTCCGCTGTAGTGGGCGGTATGTACATCAGGCGTTGCACGACCGTCATCATGTTCCCTCATAGGCGCGATACGATGCTATGAGAAAATCGACTCATCGTGAAGAGAAGATCCGCTTACCGTAGTTCCAGTGTCTATCAGCAACTGTGAAACCGAGTGGATCGCGAATGCCAGCGCTCAGCAAGTTAGTCAAGACGTACCGCAAGACGAGGTACACACTCAACGCGTATGGCGTACGAAATGTGGGCTTGCACTCGCATGTTCTGACCGTGGACGCTAGCTCGCGGCGGCTGGGTGGTTCGAGGTCGGTAAAAGCTTAGTGTGCTGAAGTGGCAAGCTTCGGAACCAACGGAACCGATGGTCCGATGCCACGTTTTGACCGCGTGGCACCCGCACAGCCACTCCCTTCCCTGGTGCCTGAGTTCTCTTCGTCTCTTCGTCGTCCCTCGCCGGCTTGCCCTCGCCTTCTGTCTTATGCAAACGCGAGCTTCATCATCAGCTCTCTCCCTACCACGTTACTCGCAACAGTAACACTCAAAGCCACCAGCGTCAAGCACTAGCAAATTCAAATGTCCACACAGGCGGGGTTGCTTTGGCTCGACGATGACGCTCTCCTCGCCATCTTCTCCTTCCTCTACGGCAAGGACGCCCTCAGCGTTGCGCTTACATCTAAACGTCTGCACGACCTCGCTATTCCTCGGTTCGCTGCGGTTGCCTGTTGCGTGTACTTCCAATCCTTCCTGCCGCTCTACGACTACATGCTAAAGGGGAAGCAGCCGCGTGTTCAATACCTAGAAGATCTAACTCTACTGGAGGTCACCCGGAGTACCTCCAGTTTTACTGCGGCCAGAGACGCGAAGGATATAGCAACGGATGTGCTAATCGGTGACCTCATAACGAGTGCGAAGAACCTGCGCCGTCTCGCATTATCCCAGCTACGGTGGCTGCTTGAAGACTCGCGCGTGGGCAACGCCATCGCGACTATGCCGAAACTGGTCGTCGTCTCCCTACATGATGTCGACGGTCGTACGCTGGAGCTCTTGTCCATCATGAACGGGTCTCTTGTGGAGCTCAGGCTCGACTACACCTGGACAGCACCCCAGTCAGCCGCTACCGACATCACTCTATTCGACGTGCTTGCGAGACACACGCGGCTTCAAATCCTCCAGCTACGTTGCTTCATGCCATCTGCAGATTTCAGGCTCACTTCCTTCTCCGTGAAGGCGCAATTTCCATCCCTCCGCCGTCTCCATATCGCAGAAACCACGAACGCTGCATTCGATTTTCCACACTTCTTTCCGCATCTGTCCATTCTGTCCTTCACTCTGGACCACTGCACACGGCCAATGCCCAACCTAGACGACTCCCTCCTATGGCCCCCGCTGCAGGAGCTGTACCTCGAGCGCATCACGCTCGCTTGCTGCGTGCAATGCCGCGTTGGCCAGGTCGACAAGGTCGGGATCCTATGGTACCTAGCACCACGCGATACGCGCGATCTGCAAGAATATCTGCCCGCTATTCTTCGCACCGCATCACCCATCACCCTAGCCCTCAGCGTTACCTATGTGTCGAGAGTCATCGGACTGCTCGCACCCACACTGGTGGCCCTGCCCCGGCTAAGGCGCCTCGAACTCTCGATATCCCTAAACAGACCGGATATAGAAGACGACGCCGAAACGTGGCTGGTAAGTTTACCGGGTATCTCCCGATATGCGCAAGCGTACTCACCAAAGTCCAACAGGTCGCGCTCCTCGCGCTCCTGAGCCAACTCCGCCTAACGAGCCTGGTCATCGCGTTCACCACAGTCAGCCCCCCGTTCTTCGACGATCCAACATCAATTGTCGACCGATCTGAAGAGGAGTCTCGCGAGAGCAAGCGGGTGCAGTTGGAATGCGAGAAGCGGCGGATGAAGATCGCGTGTGCGCTCCCGGAGCGACTCGTACACGCAATGCCGACATTGCGCCTCTTGCGCGTTCTCTTTCAGCGCTACTCTGCAGCTGGGGAGCCGTGGGCGGAAGGCGATCTGGATGCTACGGGGGATGACGAAGTGTTGACATGTCATTGGTACACATGGGAATGGGACAGGCCAGCCAGGGACCGTCTCGATTGGCATCAACGTTGGTGGCGGGTTGACGAAAACGGAGGGCTGGAATTTCTGACTTCCAGGGAGGCGAGGCATGCTATGCAGGATACAGAAGCTTAGTATGTTGTGAATATAGTGCACACTCACCCTGGTCCTCATCAATTTGTTCCTCAGAGTCTAAAAGAATAGGTGAGCGAGGGTGGAAGTCGCTACAATGAGTTTCTTTTGTCTTGTGTACATGCCGATCCCGCAGTGTGTATGTAGCACTGATCCTTCCACTTGCTGCCAACCTGCAGTACACCTGTCGAATGTAAGGCTATCAGCAAGGAGATACAGCTCGTGTCGAAAACAAGATGTACATCGCTCTGACGTACCCGCAGGAGCTTCGATCACGACTTCGTTCTCATCTACCCCACCACGTCCGCCGGCACACTGACTCGATCGGGGCTCAATCCGCCAGCCGTATGTTGCGCACGCACTGTACAATGGCCGAGCGCTCCACCACCACTTATCTTGTCTCCACGACCGGCAGGTTGGCCCAACTTCTCCACCAGCACGCCCTCTACGTGTTCGCCCTACGACGCGTTTCCAGGTGCGTTATCGCTGCCGCTATTCGTGCTATCGGAACGCCATCCGCCGCACCCCGAGTCACTGGCCACAGCGCCCCGCTTAAACACGTGATGAACGATGTAGAATTGCATCTCGTCTAACCGCCTACGCTCGCGGAGATCTCGCAACCACACGCCACGCGAGGTCATGCGTGCGAACAGGTGCAGATATGCGCCCTCGCTGATGCCAAACGACACAAATAACGCGGCGACGCGCTCAGCGCGCGCCGGAGCTCGCGGAGGGTGCACTTCGACTCCGGGATTGTCGGAGTGGTCGCTAGAGACCGGTGGGCGGGTAGGTTGGATGGAGGTCGGGCGCTGACGCGCCTGCGATTCGAGCGCGAGATAGAAGGGTGGGCGGATACTGGGCCGGGTATGTCTGGAATTGGAAGGAGGGTGAGCGGAATTATCTTTGTGGCGCCATGGTCGTGCGGCGTGGAGATGCTTGTGGTCGTGGAGAGCCGTTTCGCTGGAGAGGACGCGCTTGAGGCTCCGGGACTACTACTGGTCCGACTCGAAGCTTCTCCAACGTAATTTCCGCGCTGTCAGTCATATGTGTCTGTGATAGCGGTCTGCAAAGAAAGACAGGTCTGCGCGCACTGCAGCGTGGATATAACTGGAGGAAGACATACCTCCATGTCATTGTGCAGCCGCTTTCTGCGCCATAGAACGAAGCCTTGCCGGGGCGAGGAAACACCGGAGACTCGAGTCACATTCGTGTCGTTACGCGTGGTACTTCCGATCCTCTTGTACTAGGAGTGATTGAAAGGTCTCCAAGACGCTCGATAAATATTCCATGTCAAAAGACTCGGTATCAAGGGTTTGAGGTAGGCGTTTGAGCGTTGGGACCCAGATACCCTGATTCTTGTTATCTTAAGTCCCCGGTTATGGGCATCTGTAGGCAATTTAAAGTAGTAGGGTCGTGAATATATCGCAGAAGGGAACAGTGGGGAAAAAACCATTAGGTGATGTATACGGCGCCTGTCATAGGTTTGCGATTATGCTTGATGGCGGGACGACTACTCCCACTCCTACAGCTCCCTCGCGTAGATTTGTGCAATTTTAGGGTAGTCTGTGAAGACGACAAGATAAGATACTCGTTGAGATTGATAGAGAACCTGATATACAATCGTGAGGACTACCCACTGGTGTCATGAGTACGATCCTGTGAACATGTTGGATCCTTATCAGCGAGGATTGGCTGCGTATGACGGCAGTGGCTCGCCGAGGTGCTTGCAGCCGCGCAGGGAAGCGTTCTGTAGAGGAAGGAAGGCGGCGGCCCAGACAGTAGGATGAATGGTCCCAGGACTGCCGCCGGTACGACTTTTAGGCTCGTCGTCGTGCTTCCCGTCAGTTTTGGTATAGTTCTTACGGACCGATCAACAAAACATGACCTATGCGGGCTATGGAGTGGCTATGCGTGGCAGTAGACGTACCTCGATAGGATCCCGCGTTTCGCTTTCTACGTTATGGAGGAGGGCCTCCCACGCCGCTGAGGAGCCCTGGTCACATTCAAGCTATCATATATCATGCACGAAGCTTCTGCCGCTCTCGTACATGTGTCTCTTCCCACAAGATTCGGGTGTGGAAGGACCGCGCCATGTTTTCGGGGACAACGCCATGACAGAAGGAACGAGCAGCAGTGGATATCTGACGACGACCTTGGATACGTCAAAGGTGACGATTAAGCACAACAGCCCCCAGAGTGCTCTCGCACCGGCGACGCACGTTCATTGTGGAGAGGCCTACCTCATGTACGGCTCGTCGCTTCGAGGAAAGCTCTACAAGTTGGTAAACGGCCATCAGTACACGCATAGGACTCGTGCCATCGCGCAGTGCGCGCACCTGCGGTTGCGTTGAGAACATCCGTCGTCAGCAGAGATAGTACAGCATTCCTCGACACTAAGTCATCAATCTGCGCCTTCATGGGCCCACAGAGCGTCATTCTCGCGTTGCAATCTGTCCATGGTGTGCCGCATTGCATGTCGTGTCTCTGCTTCCTGCGGGCGTGACATAACCGTATCCCTCGGAGCGAGGGTTCGCCGTAGAGCGAGGGTATCCGGTCGAAGGGCATCGAGTCTGCAGATGTCAAGTTATCTTACTCCACTCGGCGTTTTTTTGTCATTGCAGGAGCTCCTCCGTAGTGGCCGGTACCTCAGGGGCTGCACGACTGTCGATAAGACCTCCAGGCTCCTTCAGAGACGCGATACGCTTATATGGGAAAATCGACACATGATGTGGTCGAGGTTCGCTTACCGTAGCTCTAGCCTCTGGCAGTGTCTACTATCTGCGCCTGTCAAACGAGCCTGAGGTGGATCGCGGGTGCTGTTCGTCAGGAGAGTCAGACGAGACATACCGCAAGACAAGGACCACGCCCAACGTATGAGTCGTAGTAACTCGTGGCGGTTGAGTGGGTCGACTCGGAGTTTGGTGAAAGTACGGTGTTGAAGTGACTGATCGGACGAGTGGAGCTTCGTGGTGGACGGCTTCGGGCCGCATGCGCGTGCACGAAGACGGCGCATCAATAGGTGTGGCGTAAACGGTATCATGCTGAAATAATGATACTGTACTATTTCGATCAAATCGGCACCCCTTGTGACCTGTGACACCGCCAATCTGGCGGACGATTTCGTCGGCACCGGCCAGAGGGTGTGACCGACGGCAGAATTTCGACACATTTCGGCGCGCGTCAGCGCGCGAGATTTTTAGCGCCGGGGCTCCCCCATGTCACTTTCGGCATTTCCTGCGGTGACCTGTGACATAGGCCCAAAATTCGGTCGGCAGAGGGTCCGGTGACCCGTGACATGCCGAATTGATCGAAATAGTACAGTATCCATGACGTAAGGTTGGCCTCATACACGGAGCACCTCATCACGTGAGTTTGCGTGACATCGAAACGGGAAGCTATCTCCTCCCGCAAACTTGCGCTTCACCCTTGCAAAGCTCTCATTTTCTGTGGGGAATTGCAGTACAAACAGAAAATGGGAAACTCTGGAGGGTTCTGCGACGAGCTGTGGGACGAGATAGGATCCCGTTCTCCAAACGTGACAGCGCTTTTGGCTGAGTCACAGGCGCGTAACATGAGGTGCTCCGTGTATGAGGTCAACCTTATACGCGGTCAAAGAGAGAGAGCTGGGGCGAGTAGAGAGACTGTCGAGACGTGTCCTCAGTGTCCCGGGTTCCCAGAGGACCCGGGCAACTCCACCAAATGTCCGGCCCCGGGGACCCCCCAATTTTGCCCTCAAATACGCTAACTTTCAGGCCTCTGGTACGCTAAAATGGACAAGGGTAGTCACATGTTTGCCTTTTTTGGTCACGTGTTTAGATTATTTTCGAGTATTTTCGCGATTTTTTTCTCTCGCGCAAGTCGTCGACGATACAGCGTGTTTCGCGGCGAGTTGTAGCACCCCAACATGCAGAATCCATCGGATACATAGAATCATATAGACATACGGCACTACGAGACTTACACGAGTCCAATACATGACATTTGAACTGGATTTCACTTCTTCAAGGCAGCCTTCCCCTTCGCCTGCGTCGACGTCTTGCTGCCCGTGCCCTTCTTCGCCGCGCTTGTGTTTGTGTCGTTTTTCCCCTTCGCCTGCCTCGACGTCTTGCTGCCTGTGGCCTTCGTCGCGCGCGCATTCGCGTTTGTGCCCTTCTTCGCCGCGCTCGTGCTTGTCTCGCTCTTCCCCTTCGCCTGCGTCGACGTCTTGCTGTCCGCGGCCTTCATTGCACTCGCGCTTGCGCTCGGACTCAGACTCGCACTCGGCGCACTCGCACTCGCAGTCGGCGTGCTCGCACTCGCAGTCGGCGCGCTCGCACTCGCACTCATGTTTGTACTTGCACTCGCGCTCGCGCTCGCGTCTGTGGCCTTCTTCGTCGCCCTCGTGTTTGCGTCTTTCTTCTTCGCCTTTGGATCAGCAAACTTCATCTTGGAAAGAATGTTCCATCGCGCAGCCGCCCAAGACTTGAGGGTTGACGCTTGCGGCGTCCCTTCCATGGCGTTCGGACCGAGATGGTACAGCAGCTCGTGTGCAAACCCGTGAGTGAAGAGATCGACTGTGCTCCAGCAGCGCGAGAAGTGCATATTGACGTCCTCAAAGTCGTCGTCTTCTTCCGAGGTGGTATCCGAATCGTCGCCTGTATGGCGGTCGTTCCTGCTTTTGTTCTGAGGTCTCTATTAGTAGGTAGTAAGTGTGCACTCAAGAGTACTCACCGGTGTCGTGGAGTCGCCAGCGCCTCCCCTCCTAGGCTCTGCCTACGCCCACCAGAACTCGGCCCAGACACCACAGCACCCTCGCAGCACCTCAGCATCCGCCTCCCTCCCCTTAGAGCGCCTCACACAGCGCCTCTTTTCCATCATCAACCTCGCCGGTCCGCCCCTCCCTAGCGCCCTTACGGGCGCCCTGCCTCCCGGTATCACCGGACTTCCATCATACTCCCTATGTCACTCCCTACGTCACCACAGTCATTACGATTACTATAGCACCCTGAAGGACGTCATAGGTATTAGTCTAGCTACAGGTCACCTGATCGTTGGTCACATGCTTCATACTCACCCTAGGTACCAAACACGTACAAATAGGTACCTGGTCTGTGCGCACCTGCTCCAGTATATAGGTAGAGTAGATCCTGCACCTGTTCCCCATCTCGACCTCTTAAGTCATTGGGGACAGGTAAGCACCTCTTGTACTAGATGGTCAAGTCAATATACTTAAGTCGTTGGGGACAGCTTTGGCCTTCGTCGCCGGCCTCCTCCTTGGCCTCTTCCAGGCTAGTTCCCTGGCACGCCCCTGTCGCAACCCCAGACCTCTGTCGGGGTTCGCTGAAGGGTGCCTCTGCCCTGTAAGCCCCTCTCTCCCCTCTCTCACCTCCTCCCATCGTCGTCCCCGCACGGACTCGGCGTGGGCCAGCACCACCTCCGTAAGCAGGTCGGTCCGCTGTCGCCCCTCGTCCCGGGCCTCCGCGACAACCGGCAGTCCTCCGACCGTCATTGGGAGGTATACTCGTAGAGAAATGTAGGATAAACCAGATAGAGACGCTGCTGAATCAATGGACCCGTGCCGGCGACTGACATACTTCGAGAGATCGAGGATCTCGCCGATGTACATCAGATGCGACTTCCTTGAGCTACGCATGATGACAAAATTGCCGGGTCGCAGAGGGTAGAGACTATTGACATTCTTGCTTGCAATGTTCGGGAGATCTGTGAACGTTTATAAGGTGATGCGCACAAGACAACAAGGGGACAGGTACTATACTCACCTTCCTCGGGAACAGCGGCCTGAACCTGCTTGACCACTGATTGCCACCGGAGCTCACGGATCGTCTTTTCTTGACGGCCGCCCATAGTGAGAGCTTGATAGACGCGAAGGTGATGGGCTGCTTGACGGATTGACAAAAAATTCTTCGCCGGGTCCAAGAGTCGTGCGAGGGCGAACTTTTGATCAATGGCGATGACGCGCTCAGATCGTGTTGATGTCCCGGACTGGTTCTTCGTACGTACATCGACCATTCGCGCAATAGAGACCTTCTTGTTGGCGTCCAGTATTTGGCTAACAGGTCGAGCGGGAGGGATGATAGAAGCAGACTGCGCGGGGTCGACCGGCACACTCGGAGTGAGAGCGGGTGCCGGGAATATCATCGGCGCACCTTCTGGGGGAAGCTCGTCGAGTGTAGCTTCATAATCTTCTGATAGAGCTGCGTATCGCGCCGCATAATGGGCAGCCTCGGCACGGATGGAGCTCTCATCATTTGCGGTGTCTGCCCCATCGTCTGCTTCCACGTCGGAGGCATCGTCCTCGTTCTCGATGTCGTCCTCCTCGAAGACATCTTCGTCATCATCGGTATCACTGTCGTCAGCGTTGCTGGTCCCCTTCTTTCGGCGTGGAGGCGGAGGGGCTTGAAGCGTGGTGAGAGTGAACGGTTGGTTTGCCGGGAAAGACATGCCGAGGAGCTGTTTGCAGATCTGGGAAGCCTCATCGAAGGCAAGGGCGACCAAGTCGTTCAGAATGTGATCGGGCATCTTGACACATGATTGGGCAAGTTCTTCTGGTGTCAGGGGGGTAGGGTCGTAGTCGAGAATGTAGCCCGAGCGTGAGTTTCGTTCCTTCTTGGTTTGAAAGTCGCCAGAAAGCAGTATCCGTTGGCGGAGCATCACATGCTTTACTAGCTTGAGTAGCTCAGCATAGGTAAAGTCAGGAAGTAGTGAGTGAGCGAGGCCGAAGAAGTGTTCGACAAACTCAGTACCGAGAAGCCAGGGACAGAATGGCTGGTCAGGATAGTGGCGGGAATAGGCGAGGACCAGGAGTACGAGAGTGTCGCAGAGGCGGTTGAAAATGTGGAAACTAGGGGACGATATGAACAAACGATCCATCCGATAGAGAGCGGGGAATCGTTTGGCCATCTGCCGAACATGGTGCTGCCAGATGTGGAGGAAAAAACGCGCACGAAGCGCAGCCAGGACACGGTTTGAGGCGGACATTCGTCGATTCAACCATGCGTCGAAGAGTTCCCCTGAAAGTGAAGGAGTCGTTAGTATAGATTTGCAGCGCATTACGGTGTGTAAGGCCCTACCAAATATGAACAAATATACAAATAGGCCCAGAAATTCGGGGCGGATGTCCCGACTGCCGTCCAGCCTCTCGATGGTTGTCGCTGCAAGGGCCATGGGATGGAACATGCGTCGTGCTGCACCGTCGTCCTGCTTGTCGACATCCTGGACGTCGCGAAGCTGGAGTCCAGATATCCCGGTCTCATAAAGCTGCAGGAACGAGCGGTTGACAACGTAGCCTTTGCCGAGGCTCGCAGTATGCGTGCCGTGCTGCGGTTGGTTACGACAGGTTTTCCGTGCATGCGGAGGATCTTGAACGGAGATAAGTGGTCCTGTCGTTTCGAAGACAGGTGCGCGCAAGTGTACACCGTAGAGTGGGAAATCATATGCGAGTGGAGCCAGCTCGCTCTTCTCCAAGTCCATCAATGCTTGAGCACAAAGCTCGGATGATGCACCATCGGCAGCTGTTGAGATAACTGCCATTTTGAGCTGCTTCGCCATAGCAAGGAACTGCATGTGTTGCGCATGTATACCGGTCGCGTCGTCGTTGCCCTTTGTAGGACAGAGGGCAATTACGAGTGGGGGTATTTGCGGGAGAGGGATCTGTATACAAATATGAGCATATCATCAAATCCTGATATCATCACTCACCTTGACGAGAATTGCACGAACTTGTGTCGCAAATTCCTTACCATCGCTGACCCGGGTGACAAAATTCTCGATGTCATTCGTATCTTTGACGGCGCACTGCTCGAGAGGTAGCGCAGCACCTAGGACATGGCTCCCATAGTCGTTCGAGAACGTGAGACGCTTGCGCACTTTGGTACAGTTGCCTGCAAGCGCCACAGGGCCACTGTACTTGAGCGCATCGATTAGCCGTTTGACACGGGCGACATTCTCGAACGCGAGGTCGGGGTCGCTCAGGCAATCGGGCGACTTCTTTACAAAATACCTGGGTGAAGCGAAAAGGAGTGGCAGTCAGGACGACTTCAATGTTGGATATGTAGTCTGCGTACCTCAGTGCCCGTGGGCATGGTCCACCCAAGGCGCCGTTCAAGATGCTGTATTGCTGCGCCGACTTCTGGCCATACGATCGCATGAGAACCATGCAATTCATATAATCACGTGGGTATCGTGCGCCGTGCTTGAGCTTCGAGTTGGGATCCGTACGGCGGTGTACTTGGTCTGCCATAACCTGGCAGATATTGATGAACGACTGGCGATCTGCCAATCTACCGTCGCGGGCCTGTTCGTAGAGCTCAATGAATGTTTCGGTAGATTTGTTGTGCTCGAGGAGCTTCCAAACACGAAAGACGGCTGGATCGTGCATCTTGGCTTGAAGGTCGCGCGCTTCAAGCGCCCGTACCGAATGAGGGAGGTATTTCTCGCGTGCCACGTGCCGCTCTCTCTGCTGATCTTCAGGCAGCGCAGCCTCCTTGTTTGCCTGCTCCTACGTCAGTCTGGCAAGAACACAGGCTGAGCTTTGGACGACGTACTCAATATATCGCCTTCAAGAATGCCTTGTCTTTCTCAGCTAGCTGTGTACACATATCGCATATCTCTGTGCTGTTGCTTGTCGTCCCGCCGCACCTCTTCGCCTTGACGAAGCGACTCGTATAGTCAACTTCCCATCGTGCATGGGCCTTCAGTGTTGTATCAAAGGTGCGCTGCTCCTCTATCGTCCACGCCTTCTCCTCAAGTTCCTGGTTCCCGCTCGCAGGAGGCTCTGGGTGCTGCGACGATGACACAGGTGTGCCGCCGACCACCTCGAGACCTTCATCATCAGAAGACCCAGAGGAGTCATCCTCTTCTGCTTGACCTTCGTCATCGCTGTTGGATTGGTGTCGTCGCTTGCGAGGGCTTCGGAGTGGAGGGAACGGTTTATAGGGAAACAGACGACGTGCGGTTTCTGCGCGGAGCCTGGTCGAAATCCCTCCGAGGATGCGTGTCTGGGTGCGTAGGATATATTCCTCATAGTCTGGGCCACAAAGATGCTGACAGGTGACTAGCACTGGCCTGCTAGGCTCGGGCGGTTGTGTACTCTTGCTGTGCTCAACAACACCTTTGGCCAGTGCCTTCCGTTCAGCGGCAGAAAGGACACTGAAGTGTGTAGTGATAGCGGGAGTCTATGAGCATATCAGTATGTGTGAACTGTTTCTGCGGAGCATCAAAGTACTCACCGCTACGCTGGTTCGCAAATGATACTTCACAGCTGGCTTTGTGGGGGTGCTAGACATACCCTGATGAGTTGCGCTGCTATCGTCAGGGTGATGTGCACCAGCTTGGAACAACGAGTACATAGGGGCGGCGGGCTGCGTTTGTATATGTGCGTTAATGCGATATCTTGAGCATTTAGATGATTTACTTACCTTGAGCTGTCTCTGCGCCTTAGGAATAGCTACTCTCCGGCGTTTCTCTACGCCAGTGAGGCGTGGGCAAGCCAACTTGTGTTTATCCCAGTTGCGACGGTCGTACTCTCGGTCATTTCGCAGGGCGATCCAATTTCGACAACCTCGGCAGTGCACACGGTGTGCCTCAACGGTCTCGGTGTCCGCATCCGCCTCCAGAGCCTTGCACCGTGCATCTGGCTTCATTCTCTTCCCCCTGGACTTCTTGTTAACACTGGGATTGTCGTCCTCATCGCTAGCGCTGTCATTAACGCGTGCGCGCTTGGGTGGCCGAGTTGCGGTAGGTTGACTGCGGTCCTCATTTTCCGGTTGAATGATGCTGACATGGACGGTGTCCGCAGTAGGCTGCACATTCTCTGCCGCAGGTGCGCTTGATACGCTGGCACCTCGCGCTTTGTTGTCGATTGGTGGACGCAGTCTATCAAGCATATCAGTAAGCACCTACTAGACAACAAGCGCGACAGGTACTTACGGTGCTGCCAGCAACGCATGTAGTGCACCCGCGCGGACTGCCTCCTTCGCGCTCCGCCCGAGGAGAGGAAGTGCCCACTTGTCGGCCAAGTGCTGCATTGCGATCATCACAAATAAACCACAGGACCAGGAATCATCCTGGCATTCGGTAGCGCACGGTGCATGCAGAACAAACGTATACGCATCCCACGATAGATCTGTCATTCCTAGCACCTGTCGAATAGCACTGATGGCTGCGCGCAAAGGCTGCAGAACTGGTAAGCCCGAGTCCGCAACGTGCGTCTTAGCATGAGCTTACTGTTTCTGCCCAGGAGCGAGAACCAAGCTCGGGGATACTGTCGACAATCCCATAGGTGCCGCTATCATAGTCGATGAAGCCGAGTACCCAGTGCGACGGTGCTCCACCGCACAAGGGTACACCCCATTGAACACGTTCCTGAAGGTTGCCGTGGGTATGGTCTCTCGGAGTCTGTGGAGAGGTGAGATGACAGGCCACTGTGGCCATGGACAGTAACCACTCACCGCTGCCGATACGTGCCCTTCAACAGTGCCCTCAGCACCTCCGTCGCGGATGGCACCGCTTGCCAGCACCGGGATCCAAGACGAGAAGAAGCAGAAGTCTGCGCCGTTGGCCGAGCGTTCTGCGACATCTTGAATGATGGCCGCATAGGCATCCAGAGTCGTGCCAGTTAATTTCTGTGTATGTTTAGGCAATAAAGTTTCCAGTTCTTGACTACAGAAGTCGATGTTGCGGACGCGCCGCATGCGTGTGTCGGGGACGGTGTCCATCCCGTGCTGGTCGTCGGTGTGGCTCAGAAGAGTAGTGGGTGTTCAACAAGAAAATGGAGCTCGCATTGTTTCTCTGCATCCTACGTACTGTATGCTTGGATAGCAGAGAATGAGCCACATCCCCGCCACAAACACATATAGGCGCCCGTCCTCCCGCCCCGACCCTCCCTCAAATACGCTAACTCGGGCCGGGGTTTTGGGCGTCTAACCCCAAAATGGGCCCCCAAATACGCTAACTTGGACAAGGGTCATTACCATATTGGGTATACAAAATACGCTAACGGGGCCGGACATTTGGTGGAGTTGCCCGGGTCCTGTTCCCAGAGAACGCGAAGAGTCACGCGTCACGTGTCAGTGACGCTCACGGTCGGCGCACCCCGATCTGAGCCGATCTGAGCCACACGACCGCCCTCCATTGTTCCTTTTGTTGTGCTCGCCAACTCTCCCTTCACCTCGACCACCATCACCCTTAATCAAGCATCATTATGCCTCCTCGAAAGAAGCAGCGGACAGACAGCGGTGCGCTTCCCGTAGCAGCGGTGCCCCGCCGCACAACGAGGGCATCAGCCAAAGCCGCTCAAGCAGGCATCGTCGCTGGGGCTCCGTGTGCGGTCACAAACACGAAAGAGAAGACCAAGGCAGCCGCGCCGATCCGAGGCAAACGTGTCGTTCAGAAAGGCCGTCTGCAAACTCTCCCCGACCTCGCCGTAGAGGTCCAATTAGAGGTAAGCAATAGTGAGCTTTGACCTTCGGGATAGTCATTGACGCAAATCTATTTGCTAGATATACAACTATCTCGACTTAGAAGACCTGTTTAATCTGGCACGGACTTGCAAGAAGTTTCGCACCTTCTTTCTGGACAAGACATCCGAGAAGAAGCTATGGGTACCTGCGCGTGCGAACACGCCTGATGTCCCTGAGCGACCGTCGTCTATGAGCGAGTACTCGTTCGCGCATCCGCTGTACTCGCCACACTGTCACGTAAGCTTTGGTTTCACTCAATTACGTTACCAACACTGAAGTGTCCATAGAACTGCGGCAGGTCTAATGTTCGCAGAATCTTGGATAACTGCCTCATCCGCCTATGTGCGACTTGTTTACGAGAACAGTAAGCTGGAAATCTTCAGTAACGTTTGACGGCATGCCTGATAAGTGATTCATAGAGCGATATGGTACCAGGATGCATATGTGCAAGTAAGGTCCAGAAATGAGACGCTAGCCCGGACGCTGTTTAGCCTCCAGACGATTCGCTACTATTTTCCCGTACAAAGCTACTCATGGTCGTAAGTCGCAGGAAAAATCATGCAACTACGTAACTTATACGATCTGCTTGTATTTTACCAGAGGCCGATCCGAGCCAAAGTTCAACCACGTATTGAAATCACATCTGGACCGCATTCTCAAGCAGATCAAGGCACTCCCGACCCCTATAACCAATGAGGCCTTGAGCACATTTCTTGATAAAGCAAAGGAGTATTATTACGAATCTCGCCTCCCAGTACGCCCGTTTTAGCCTGTGCTCATCATCCGTATTACTGAGAGTTTAGTGCTGCAGTACGCTGAGGCCGTGTCGCTCTGGATGGACAAACAAGATGAGAAGAGGCGAACTCTTCTGGAGGACGCAAGGAAGCAGCGTTTCGAAGCGTGCGTCCGTCTTGATGATTCAGGAGAGCGGCCCGTGCTGATGTTCCCCACCTACTTAAGCATCCTCGACAGACTACGTGATGCTGGCTGGGGAAAGGAGCTCGATTTCATGGGCGCAGAGGGTATCGAGACCATGTCAGATATGCCCGTCGTCCGGCAGTCGACCAAGCTTACCAACGGGGGTAAGTATGCTTCCCCACTCAATGCGTACGGGCAATGTGACAAACGGAGTCTCTCACAGCGTGGCTGAAGGTGCAAACAGTACTCGATCGCTTCCTGAGTGACACACGGGCGAAACGTCTCGACGAGGAGCTTCGAACGGCGCTTCGTGCACGCTTTGATATGCTCGAAGAAGTCATCACGGCACACTACGTGACCCTCCCGCGCACTGCACGCATGGAGTTCCGCCCGCAATACATCGACTTCGCGCTCACGCCCGAGTGCCGCGCGATCGCAGACGTGCCCACATCCGAGACGGTCACCGCGGACCAGTTCGCCGCCGTCGTCCCCGCACTCGCCAAACAGTGGCACGCAGACCGGAGGGCGGAGTTCACGGCATACCTGCTCCCGCATCTGGGAGACATCGCACCCGACGTGGACCCGCTCACGCTCGCGATCTCGGTCTTTCGGGATAACCGGTCGTGTTACGGGCCGTTCGGGCTCATGCGGTACCCCGCCGTCCTCGCGCACAACTGCGGCTGCGACAACTGCTTCCGCACCGACCACAGCCGCACGACGGAGGAGTACTTCGCGGACGACCTGTACACGCGCACGACAAAGTCCCTGGGTTGGACGGAGGCGGAGTTCAGCACGCTCCAGTACGTAGACGAGTACGCCGACACGCACGTCCCGTTCAACCTCGGGTCGCTGGCGGGCCCGGAGGAGGCCCGTGAGGTGATCGACATCGTGCGGCGGGTCGTCGCGGCGCTCGGGCTGGACCCGGCGCGCGCGACGGCTGACGAGCTCGAGCGGTGCGGGGTGTGGCTGCGGTGTACCTCGTGCGAGACGCGCTCGCCGAAGGATGAGATCGAGGCGATGTCGTGGAGCGCCGCGGTGAGTTCCGTCTACCGCCTCGACGCATGATTGCGTTGTGCTCAAAGTGCATGTTCCTTTTCATTGCAGTATCGCCACGAACGTTTCCACATGCAGTGGGATGGGGCCAGGAGACGGGCCCCTGTGTGGCGCCATGCAGATGACGAGGATATGGCAAAGCTGCGCGCGCTCCATGCGACGCAGGCCGAGCAGGCATATGCGGACTATTTTCTGTGGTCGTGCTCGCTCTGCCCCAGGTTTGACGCGCGTCCGGCAGCTATGACGGCACACCTCGAGGAAGCGTGAGTGCTATGTGGTATATTCTCATACTGCAAAATCGCTGACATGTTGCGCATCGTCGCTACAGGCATGCTATCTTAGATCCCGCCCAGGCAAGACGGGATGGGGTTGTCTACTTGTATCCATCTTTGGAGAGGTCAGAAGTGTTTGCGGACGAGATCAGCCTTCGCGCACGCATCGACCGGCGCGCCCTGGGTAGCTGATCTATTTCTGAATCCGGCATTTCGTTACCGTTGATCCTACATACGTCTCCTGCAGTACATACCCTCTAGTGTAGCAGTATCTTTGTATTTTGTGCACGAGTAAAGAATGAAAGTACCTTCTCGGGTATATCGGGTAACACATAGTTATTCAGTCGACTGTTTTGAGACTTGAGACTACCAGCTAGTACGATAGCATTAAGTACCCGTTTGTGCACCAAGCAAGCCGCAGTGACTGAGGCCCGTGCACGCGTCTCCAGCGCGATATATTCCAACGCGAAGCGTCACAAACCATGCGAACGTGACGCTCACGCTTTTCCTGGTGCGCGAATCGCGACGCCGGACAATGATCTGAGCGACAGATCTCTCCAAGTCTTAGCCACCACCATAGGCGCCCACTATATTTCCCTTTGTCCGTCCGTCGGGATGCCTTTCTCCCAAACCACCATCACCGCTCTTAGACACGACCCCGTAATGCCGCCTCGCAAGAAACAGCGGACCGACGGCAATGAGCCTCCAGTAGCCTCAGTACCCCGCCGTACGACGAGGGCATCAGCCAAAGCTGCCCAAGCAGATGGTCCCGTCGCTGAAGGTTCGGCTAATGGTGCTAAACCAACTCCGAAAGCGAAAGCCAAGATGGCTAACCCCGACGCGCCCAAACGCGTCGTGAACAAGGGTCGTCTGCAGACACTTCCGGACCTCGCGGTGGAGGTCCAGCTCGAGGCAAGCTTCACGCAGCACTGGCGCGGATCTCATTGACTCACTATACGCCTACGACTAGATCTATAACTACCTAGATTTAGAGGATATATTCAATCTCTCCCGGACATCCAAGAGGTTCCGTGCTTTTTTCGCGGACAAGAACGACGAGCAGAAGCTGTGGGTGCCCGCGCGGGAGAATACGCCTGGGCTCCCGGACCGGCCGCCTTGGATGGGCGAGCGCAAGTTCGCTTACCTGCTCTACTCGCCGCATTGCCACGTACGTTCCTGCTTCAATTCGCTGTATGCAGCGTGCTGAGTTCTGGCTAGAATTGCGGGGCTCCCAATATCCGTAAGATCGTATATGGCTGGTTCGTTCGTCTGTGTTCCGCGTGCCTGCAGAAAAGGTACGCTATTGCATATACACTGCGTGCGGCGAAGATGCGCTCAAAGTACATTTCTCAGGACGATATGGTATGGCTATGCAGCAATGGATACACAAGATATCGAAGATGGCTCGATCTTACGCAATATGTTCTACCACAACACAATCACCTCCCATTTCCACGTTGAGGGGTACTCTCAGTGAGTCCAACGATGTCTGCACGGATAGCAGATCACTTATCCGACCCTGCCCCATATATGCAGCCTTACGCGCGACCCGAAGTTCAACCGTCTATTCGTAGACGACGTGAACCGCGTCTTTGAGCAGTTCGAGGCGCTCCCGGATTCTGCGGATAAGAAGACCTTCCCCGACCAAGTCAAGGCAGAGCACAGGGCTCGTCTTCCGGTATGTTTCATCAAAATAGGTCTCGTCCGAAACCGCAAAAGTGCTGAGACATCGTGGTGCTAGTACGCCAACGCCATCCACCAGTGGATGCATCAGAAAAAAGAGCAGAGGCTAGATCATCTTGATGATGTTAGGCAGCAGCGTTTCGACGCGTACGTTCATCTCGTGACTATACAGAGCTGAGAGTGTGTACTTACAATGGCGTCGTATCTCAGCATCCTGGTCAAATTACGAGACGCCGGGTGGGGTAAGGACCTTGACTTCATGGGCGAACAGGGCCTCGATGCCATGTATAAGATGCCCGTCGTTCGGCAGTCCTCCAAGCTGACTGAAGGAGGTACGTATACTTCCCATTCCGCACACACGTACATATTGATGGACCAGATATTATGATGCCGCAGGGTGGCAGAAGGTGCTAATCGTACTCGACGACCTCCTGAAGAGCACGAGAGAGAAACGTCTCAACAGCGAATACCGGCAGACTATATGGGTGCGGTTCAAGACTCTCGAGCGAGCAATCCAAGCGCAATACGTGACCCTCCCACGTAACGTGCGCATGGATTGCCGTCCACGGTACATCGATCTGGCTTTGACACCTGAATGCCGGGCAATCATCGACGTTCCCATGTCCGAAGCAGTCACCGTCGACGATCTCGCGGCCGTCGTGCCGGCACTGGTGCAAACATGGGAAGCAGAGACCCGGAAGGCGCTCACCGAACACCTCCTGCCGCACCTCGGGGACATCGCCGCCGACGTGGACCCGCTCGAGCTCGCTGTCTCGTTCTTCTACAGCAACAACGGGTCGTGCACTGGGCCCATCAGCATCATGCGATATCCTGCGATTCTCAAGCACCACTGTAACAGGACCGAAGACTGCTACCGTTCCGGCTGGTATACAAAGGAAGAGTTCCTCAAGGAAGACTTGTATACCCGCACGACGAAAACCCTCGGAACCTACGTAGTAGATTCCGAGTCTGAAATACTCGCGCATCGAGAGAACGTGCGCACTCGCGTTCCGTTCCATCTGGGAGGATGGGGGCCCCGTGGTGTCGTAGCGAGGATGCAACGCCTCGTTTCTGCGATGGGACTGGATCCGACACGGGCGACGTTCGAGGAGCTTGAGCGATGCGATATGTGGCTGCGGTGCACCACTTGCGAGACGGAGAACCCGAACAACGCGATCTTTGCCCACTCATGGAACAGCGCCGTACGTTTCTTCCACTCTACCTATCGATGACCTGGTTTATAACGCGTCGATTTCTTCCGCTCTGTAGTATCAGCACGATCTGCATCATACCGAGGGTATGCACTGGTACACATACCGCAGAGGGATACCCGCGTGGCGACACGCAGACGAGGAAGACATGAGCAAGATACAAGCTGCCAAGGAGGCAAACCTTTCAAAGACGGGGGGCTTTTATCGGTGTTCGTGCGCGCTCTGCCCCGACTTCGACGCGAGTGCGGACGCCATGGTGACACACCTCGCGACGACGTGAGTGTCCTCAACAAATTCAAGGTCTTGTGAGCTTGCTAACATATTGCGCGCCGTCACGTCAGGCATGACATCTCGGATTTCTGCCAGGCAAGGCGGGATGGGGTCGTGTACCTCCATCCGCATACGGACAGGGCTATGGCGTTTGCAGACGCGATCTGCATTCGTGGACGTATCGAACCGAAGGCAAACTGAGCTCAAGACGGTACTACTTAATCTTATCGAAGTGCACGGTCGTTGATGGAGCAGGTCAATCGACATTCTTTAGTGAACTACTGTATGTATGATGCATGTGCTTCAACTTGATGTAAGGACTTCGAGGATATGGAAAGTAACTTCTACCTGTCCGAGGCCGGGCGGCGTGTACTGACTTACTACTCGACTGTCTGAATTATCGATACCACACGGACTCGAGCTAACTACAAGGGCACACGACGCGTGAGGTTACGTGTCACGTGGACGTGATGCGAGCGCGTTCCATTGTGCGCGAACGATCTCCGCGACAGATCTCTTGCTCTTAGCCACCGCCCTTGACGCCCGCCATACTTCTCTTTGCCCATCCCGCGAGGTGTCCTTGCGACCAAACCACCATCATCTCTGCCTAACGTGTTTCCGCCATGCCTCCTCGCAAGAAACAGCGGGTCGATGGTGATCAAGGAGTGGTAGCGTCCCGCCGTACAACGAGGTCATCCGCAAAAGCTGCTCAAGGCCGCGCTGTCGCCGAAGACCCACCTGTCAAGAAGAAAGCGAAATGCAAGACAGCCGAGCCAGATGCGCTTAACGACGCTGTACGCACAGGTCATCTGCAAACACTTCCTAATCTCGCCCTCGAGGTCCAGCTCGAGGCAAGCCCACGCAGCTTCGACGCGATCCTGGTTGACTTACGGCCCACAACAGATCTACAACTATCTAGACTTAGAAGACATATTCAACCTTTCACTGACCTGCAAGAAATTCCGTGCTTTCTTCATGGACAAGGCACTCGAGAAGAGGGTATGGGTGCCCGCGCGGGCAAACACGCCAGGACTCCCGGATCGGCCGCCTTGGATAGGGGAGTGTGCGTTCGCTTACCTGCTTTACTCGCCCCACTGCCACGTAGGTTATGTTATCGTCTGCACGTGTGAAGTGTATTGAGCCTTGCAGAATTGTGGAAGGGCAAACCTTCAGAACATCGTATACGGCTGGTTCATTCGTCTGTGTTCCGCGTGTTTGCAGGAAAGGTATGCATGTGATTTCCCTGTTTGTGTGAGAGACACCTGAAATACATTTTCAGGACGGTATGGTATCGCATTGCTGCAACGGAAGCAGAAACTATCGCGAAAGGCTCTGGCTTATGCAAGATCTTCGACGTAATCGCTCTCCCCTCCTATTTCCGCGCTCATCAACATTCTGAGTAAGTGACACACGGTCCGCGTAGATTGATGTTCATTCGGTACTCCTCCGCATTCGTAGTTCACCCGACTCGGACGAGAAGTTCAATCGTCTATTTAGGGATGATGTAGACCGTGTCTTTGCGCAGTTCAAGGCACTTCCCGCTTCTACAGCTCAGGACGAGTTTTTCGATCAAGTCAAGGCGGAACACAAAGCCCGTATCCCGGTGCGTTTTGTTTCATGGGACTCATCTGAGCCCTCACAGATGCTGATACGCCGTGGTCGCAGTATGCTGAGGCCGTCCACGTCTGGATGCGCAAGCGAGCATCTGAAAGGCGGGTGCGTCGCGCCAACGCCAGGCGCGCGCGCTTCAACATGTACGATCAGTTTATCATTGCAGGGACATGCTATCACTCGCGCTCACGATGATTCTGTGTCATAGCATACTTGATAGACTACGGGAGGCCGGCTGGGGGAAGGAAGTCGACTACCTGGGCAAAGAGGGGCTCGATATCATGCGCCGCATGCCCGTTCTGCGACAGTCGTCTAAGCTGACTGATGGGGGTGAGTACGCTCTCTACTCGATGTCCACGTGCATGCTGATGGTGCCATGAAAACGCTGCAGCGTGGCAGAAGGTGTTCGCAGTGCTCGACAAATTCCTCGAGACTACGAGAGAAAATCGCATCAATCACGAATACCGGGAGAACCTGAGGGCGCGCTTCGAGGCTCTCGAAGAGGCTATTGCGACACACTACGTGACCTTCCCGCGCACCCCGCCCATGGACTACCGTCCCCAATACATCGACTTCGCATTCACCTCCCAGTGCCGTGCGATCGCGGATCTGCCCGCTTCGGAAACCGTCACCGCCGACCATTTCGCCGCCATCGTCCCCGCGCTGGCCCAGAAATGGGACGAGGACCGCAAGAGGCAGCTCACGGAGTACATTCTCCCGCACCTCGGGGACATCGCCGCGGACGTGGACCCGCTCGAGCTCGCGATCGCCTGCTTCACCATCGGCGGGCCGAACATCCTCTCGTGCTTCGGGCACATCCGGACGATGCGGTACCCCGCCATCCTCAAGCACCATTGTTTCACGGGCAAAGACTGCTTCCGCACTACCATCGCCACAGCGGCGGAGTATTTCGAAGACGACCTGTACACGCGCTCTGTGAAGACCATGGACAGCGGGCGGGAGTGGGAGGCGCGGATGCGCGAGCGCAGCCCCACTGCGCTATCCGTCGTGCGCGTTCCGTTCCATATACGCGGGCTGGCGCGGGCGAAGGGTGCGCGTGACGTGGTGAACAGGATGCGGCGCATCGTGGCTGCGGTCGGGCTGGACCCGGCGCGCGCGACGATCAGGGACCTCGAGCGGTGCGGCGTGTGGCTGCGGTGTGTCGTGTGCGAGACGCACAAGCCCGACGACGTTGTCTATGCTTGGTCGTGGAGTGGCGCGGTGAGTACACATGGACGTTAGCTCGTCACGTCATGCGGTTTCTCACCATCGCGTCTAGTATGGACACGACCAGTGGCATACCACTGCCACAATGTCCAAGGTGGAGATGAGAGGGGTGCCCGAGTGGCGGCGCGCAGACGACGCGGACATGGTCAAGGTGCGCGCGTACAAGGACGCAGAACTACCGGAGACAAGCCTCTGCGATTATGGATGGTCGTGTGCGCTCTGTCCCGCATTCGATGCGAGTGTGGAGGACATGACGGAACACCTCTTCAAGACGTGAGTATCGTGAATATATTGTGCATGTTGTGAGGATACTGACACGTTCGTCGTTTTCGTGGCAGGCACGATATCTCTGGTTTCGCGCAGGCAAGGCGGGATGGGGCTGTCTATCCCCTTTCTTACGCCGACAACACCTCACGGTTGGCGGACGCAGTTTCCCTCGGCGCGCGTATCGAACTGAAGACGGCCTGAACTCGCACCGGCGGTACCCAATGTTAATAAAGCACGCCATTGCGAGGTGTCTGTCTCTCCCCGAATTCGGACGAGCGATGTTCTTCCATTTACTTGGTAGTACTGATCATGGCATGTATCACGACTTGAAGAATTTGGATGGTAACCTTCTTGCTCAAGAGTGCGCAGCATCCATTAGTTGACTGTATGAGTGAATTGACGCGTGATTACCCATTAAATGGCGACGAGTGAGTTCACGTTGACTTTCGCGGGACGCTGCGACGCGGTCCGACGCGCGGGGTCACTGATCATGCGGACGTGACGCCCACGCGTTCCATTGTGCACGACTGATCTCCGCGAGGGATCTCTCCCTCTTAGCCACCCTTGGCGCCCGTCATCTTTCTCTGTTCCATTCGCAGCTCTCCTTCCACTTCAACCATCACCACCACCCTCTAGAGCTGCATCATGCCTCCGCGGAAGAAACAGAGGATCGACGACACTGTGCTCCCAGTAGCAGTAGTGCCCCGCCGCATAACGAGGGCGTCAACCAAAGCCGCTTTGGCAGACGGGGGCGTCGCCAAGGATTCACCTGTCATCGCCAAAACGAAAGCAAAGGTCAAATCTGCTGGTGAAGGTACTTCCAAGTGTATCGTTGGCAAGGGCGGGCTACGAACACTTCCGGACCTCGCCCTAGACGTCCAATTCGAGGCAAGCGGCACCGTGCTCTGGAACTGGGGATAGCCACTGATACATAATCTACCTGTCAGATCTACAACTATCTCGATGTGGTGGACTTGTACCATCTCGCACGGACTTCCAAGAGGCTCCGAGCCTGTATCTTGGACAAGACGCTCGAGAATCAGCTGTGGGTACCAGCACGGGCGAACACGCTCGACATCCCCGAGCGGCCCCTTTTCATGCCGAACGAATATTCGTTCATCCATCTCCTACTTTCGCCACATTGTCACGTACGCCCTAGACTCATTCTCTCCTGGAAATGATGCTGAGGTAGTAACAGAACTGCGGCACATCTAATGTCCGCAAGATCGTGGACGGCTGCTTCGTCCGCATGTGTTCAGCATGTTTATCAGCACGGTATGTCGATAGACCTCGAGGGTGTATGAAGATGCGCCTGAGACTGAGAATAATTTTTCAGGACCATAGGGCACGAGGAAGCCTTTGACAAAGCGAGGAAGATCAACAGGGCGCTGGCCGACACGTTCTTCGGCATTGACGCCATTACTCGCTATCTCCCGGTACAGGGATATAATCAGGAGTGAGCGGCACACGCAACTTCACGGATACATGGCTTATGGATTGCTCTCGGATATCTCCAGACGTTCGTATGACCCCCAGTGCAATCGCATATTGAGGACCCACGTGAACCGCATTATACGGCGATACAAGGCGCTCCCCGCTCCTGTGACTGCTGAGGCCTTGAGGGCATTTGCTGTACAAGTGAAGGCAGATTACGAGGCTCGCTTTCCGGTACACTCTCTTCAGTCGAATCCGATTACTTCCATTACTCAAAGCTCATTGTTTCAGTACATTGATTCTGTGAAGGTGTGGCTGAACGACCAAGAAGAGCAGAGGCTGATCCGCCTCAACGACGCGAGGCGGCAGCGTTTTGAGGAGTAAGTTCACTCGGATACCTGGGGAACATGACCCGCGCTTACAGCGATTCTCTACCGAAGCATCCTGGTCAGATTACGAAGCACCGACTGGCAGAAGGAGCTCGACTTCATGCACCCATGGGATATCAAGACCATGTCTAACATGCCTGTCGTCCGGCAGTCGTCCAAATTGACTGATGGGGGCAAGTACACTTCCTACTTGGCTTTTTTATACATGCTTATGGACTCGGTAACGCAGCGTGGCAGAAGGTGCTGGTCGCACTTGACGGATTCCTAAAGGGAATAAGAGAGAATCGCCTCAACCATGAATACCGGAAGGCATTGAACGCGCGCTTCGCGGCCCTCGAAGAAGCAATAATCGCGCACTATGTGACTATCCCGCGTACCGCGCGTATGGATTGCCGCCCGCGTTATATCGACTTCGCGCTCACGCCCGAGTGCCGTGCCATCGTGGACGTGCCCATGTCGGAGACGGTCACCGCGAACGATTTCGCGGCCGTCATACCCGCGTTAGCGCAGAAGTGGGACGCGGATCGTAGGAAAGAGCTCACGGAGTACATCCTGCCGCATCTCGGGGACGTTGCTGCCGACGTGGACCCGCTCGAGCTTGCTATCTCGTGTTTCAACAAGAAGACAGCTGAATGCCACGGGGATATCGGCGTCATGAGGTACCCCGCCATCCTCTACCACCGCTGCTTTACGGGACCCCGGGAAGGTTGCTACAACACTTCGACATACGCGGTCAAAGAGTATCTCAAAGAAGACCTATACACGCGCACGACGAAAACCCTCGTTCACATGATTTATGAGGAGTCACTGTTACTCTGCGGTGACAAATTCTTGAGTGCTCACATTCCGTTCAAGCTGAACGACGGCGACGGGCGGAATCCTGGCGATGTGGTGAACAGAATGCGGCGCATTGTTTCGGCGGTAGGACTGGATCCGACTCGGGCGACATTCGAAGATCTCGATCGATGCGACGTGTGGCTACGGTGTGTCACTTGCGAGACAGAACATCCGAAGGACCCGATCTTTGCGCGATTGTGGAGCAGCGCGGTGAGTACAGACAAGGCGGCTGCATAGTTCATGGGGCTCATCCACGTTGCCTTTATCTGCAGTACGAGCACGAGGTGGACCCTACCACTCGTGACAGCATGGGTGTGATACAGCAAGTCTCACATGGTACACAATTCCCAGAGTGGCGGCGTGTAGATGAGGAAGATATGATCAAAATCCGAGCCGTCAAGGACGACGAATATTGGAAGACGGACTTCGACACTCACTGCTGGTGGTCGTGCTCGCTCTGCCCCAACTTTGACGAGAGGTCCGACGAGATGGCAATACATCTCGAAGAGACGTGAGTGTCATCGACTTATAAACCTCGTGGTCATGCTGATCTGTTTCACGTCGTCACGATAGACATGACATAGTTGATTTTTGCGAGGCAAGGCGAGATGGGGTCGTGTACCTTCACCCGCGGACGGACAAGTCATGGGCGTTTGCAGACAAAGTTTGTCTTCGCCGACGCATACTTTCACAGATATTCTTTGGCGACAGCATTGCTGGTTTTTGACATGCGCGGTTGTTCGCCGATTAACTGCCAGCGCCGTCATTTATTGCAGCAGTACTTGAGTCATGTACTCGTGTCAAATTCCGTATGAATCAAGTATGAATAGTATCACTGCAGTCGAATGTCTGGATGGCCCAGTCCACAAAAATCGAAATTATAAATTCTTTCACCTCAACCCACATGCATGTTTGTGAACGTGCGGAAATCGTTCGCGAGGAGGCGTACCGGCTCAGGCAACGGTGGCCTTTTCCCCGCATGTCACATGACCGCGCCTCTCGTGTGCTGCCACGCGGTCGGCGTCGCGCCGCTCGCTAGGTTGAACCACAACCACCATCGCGGCCATTATCTGTCTCTTTTCGCTTATCGTCGAATGCCTCCACGTAAGAAGCAGCGACTCGGAACTGCTGGACTAGCAGAGGAGACGACGACCGGAGAACATGAGAAATCAAAGACTGCAGATGGAGGCCCAGCGAAGCGAGCCGTTCGGAAACGCAAAGGCCGCCTGCAGACGCTTCCAGATATCGCCATCGAGATACAGTTGATAGCAAGTACTCTCGCCGCGTAATTTCACACACACAATTAGCTTGACAATGTCCACAGATATACGGTCAACTGGAATCGGTGGATCTACATCACCTCTCGCGCACTTGCAAGAAGTTCCGTCAATTCTTCCTGAACCGCGTCACGAACGAAAAGCTTTGGGCGCAAGCGCGATCGAACACCGGGGACCTTCCACAACGACCGCCTTTCATGAGCGAGCCGGCGTTCATTCATCTACTCTATGCGACTCACTGCCACGTAAGCATCCCGGCCGTTCTTAACCTACTTTACGTCCAGTTCACCACGTATTATTAGAGCTGCGGTATATCGAATGTTCGCAAGATTATATATGTTTACTTCCTTCGGCTCTGCGCTACGTGTATGGAGGAGAGGTGAGTCGTATTTGACTTTCACTGTATCGCGCTAAATGGCTTCCAGGACCATACGGGCTGCAGGCGCGCGGCAACAGAGCTCTCACCGGCTTGGTGGCAGTCTGATACTAGACTCGATGCTGTCTCCCTCAGAAGTTGGACTTTACATCTCTGTCGTAGAATGGGACCCGTAAGCATCACGTATCCGCGTACCTGCGTACTCAGCGAGCTCCTTACCTTGCGTCTGACGCACTCTTCCAGCGCATCCGACAGCCTGGATACCAACCGACTGCTCAGGGAGGACGTTCAGCATCTCATCGAACGCTTCGAAGCCCTCCCAGCCCCTATAAGCCCGAAGGCCGGGAAGACGTTCAGAAAGACGATTGCAAAAGAGCATCGCGTTCGTTTAACTGTACACGAGTCTCTCTTCCATGCTGGTCTCTTTGCTGATTACTACTACACCAGTACGCCCGAGCAATCTGCACCTGGCGTGAGAGACGTGATACACAAAGACAGTCAGAGCTTGAGAACATTAGAAAGGAGCGTCTTGATACGTGCGTTTGCTGCAGGATGTGTGGGACAAGCGGGTACTAATATTCATTTGGCCATCAGGATTGTCGCTCGCCTGCGCAAGTCCGGGTGGGACCAAGAGGTTGACTTCCTGGGCGACGAGGGAAGGAAGATCCTATCAGATTTTCCCGTGGTACGGCAGTCGTCAAGGTTGACAGAAGGCGGTGAGTATGACGATCGCCGCGATCGCGTACCTACTGATCGCCACTCACTGCAGCTTGGACGAAGGTGCTAGCGGCCCTTAACGAGCTCCTGAACAAGACGCGTGCGCAACGGTTGGACAAAGAAATCTGTGATGCTCTTCGCGCCCGCTTTGGCATGCTCGAAGACGCTCTAGTGGCACACTATGTAACACTCCCGCGGAATGCGCGCATGGTCTGCCGCCCACAGTGCATCGACTTCGCGTTTATGCCGGAGTGTCGGACAATCGTCGACGTGCCCGCTACGGAGACCGTCACCGATGACCAATTCGCGGATATCGTCCCAACTCTGATAGTGCGCTGGGAAGCCGACATAAAGAAGCAGCTCACGGACTACATCCGGCCGTATTTAGGCGAAGTTGACCCAGACGTTGACCCACTGGAGCTCGCCATCTCGTTCTTCTTCTACAACTCGAAAGAGGCGTGCTCGCAAGGATGCGACAGATACATGCGATACCCGGAAATTCTGGCGCACAAGTGTGTCCGTCTGCGCGACTGCTTCCGTTTCCACTATGGCGCGACGGATACGCTCGAATCCGGCGACGCGTACACGCGCACGGTCAACTCGCTGGGAAGGTTACCACAGGACCGCCCCCAAGTGTATTGGCCTGAAGGCTCTACCGGTATCCTCACGAACCACCCCTTCCGATTCAATCCGTTCCATGATGCGGACTCAGAGGCACGACAACCGGCAAAGGCTATGCGCCAGCTCGTCTCTGCGCTCGGGTTAGACCCGGCCAGGGCGACATTCGATGTCCTGGAATGGTGCGACGTCTGGCTGCGGTGTCAGACTTGCGAGACAGCTGCGCCTGCTGACCCGGTTCGTGTGTGGTCGTGGAGGGCCGCTGTGGTTCGTCGTGCAACCCTACCTCCAAGACCGCTCGCTAATCAGCCCGCCATTCTGTCTTTTTAGCATGTACACCTTAGGCACCATATGCGGGGTTGGGACCCCGCGAAGCAGAGGATCCCAGAATGGCGGCGCGCAGACGAACAAGCCATGGCCCAAGTGCGGGCGTCCCTCGCGTCTGTACAGGCTGTCCGAGTTGGAACGTCGCGCCTGTGGTGCTGTTCACTCTGCCCGACATTCGATGCTGTCGCGACGCTCATGGTACCCCACCTCAAGGAGAGGTACGTGTCGTATGAATCATTCTTAACCGTGCTTACATCTTCCTCGACGAACACTACAGACACAGTATCGATGACCCTGAGGCGGCGAGTCGTGATGGGACCATCTTCTTGCATCCGTCTGAGGTGGAGCCTCCACTGTATCTGAACCGCATCTCCCTCCGCGACTTCGTCGAGATTCCCCAAGGCAGCGTCGAGAAATAACTGACGTAGACGTTCGACATCATGTATGCATAGGGCTACATCTATTGATTTGCGCTGCTTTGAATATAGTTGTGGTCATTGATCTAGAACGTGACACACCGGAATTTTCCTTACTATCAATTCTAAAGCCCTCTCGGAGGTCGTCTTGAAGGGAATCTTCACTGCACATGAATCCCACAGCGGGAAGTTGTGCGTTCGTCAGCACGAGTAAGGAGGCGAGGAGTCTGCCTCCCGCTGGCATGTGCGGACGAGCGAGCTTGGATACTCAGGCTACACTTCTTATTGGGTAGGGCGGTTTGATGCATAATGGGCGGCGAGTTTACGGTGACTTGTGAGGCTTGGATTTGGATGACTGCCAAGCATTGGCTCTTCGTGGGTTACCGTAGCTAGTAAGCACTTTCAGTCCGTATGTTATCAATTATTCAAAGAGTCAAATAGCGAGTAAGTCCATGCATGCTGCCCTACCTCAGCCCAAGAGAAGTCACTATCCATATCCTCGAAGCCCTTAAGCCTCAAGACGCATGCATTACACATACAGTAGTTCACAAAAGAATGTTGATCGTTGGCGATTGACCTGCTCCATCGACGACCGTGGACTTCGATAGGACCGGAGCAGTGTCACATTGAACTCAGGGCGCCTTCGCCGGTTTGATACGTTCGCGAAGGCAAAACGCGCCTGTGAACACCGCAGACCTATCCGTGTGCGGATGGAGGTAGACGACTCCATCCCGCCTTGCCTGGCAGAAATCCGAGATGTCATGCCTGACATCCCGGCGCGCAACGTGTCAGCGAGCTCACCAGACCTTGATTTTGTCAACGGCACTCACGTCGTCGCGAGGTGTTTCACCATGGCGTCCGCGCTCGAGTCGAAGTCGGGGCAGAGCGCGCACGAGCACCGATAAAAGCCCCCCGCCCGTGAAAGTCGTGCCTCCTTTGCAGCCTGGATCTGGATCATGTCTTCCTCGTCTGCATGTCGCCACTCGGGTATCTTTCTGCTGTCTGCGAGGTAGTACGTTAGCTCGATATGGGTACCCTCGGCATGGCGTAGATCGTGTTCATACTACAGAGCAAAGGGAAATCGACGCCTTAGAAGCCAGGCCAGCAATATGTATAGAAGAAACTCACGGCGCTGCTCCACGAGTGGGCCAAGATCGCGTTGTTTGGGTTGTCCGTCTCGCAAGTGTTGCACCGCAGCCATACATCGCATCGCTCGAGCTCCTCGAACGTCGCCCGAGCCGGATCCAGCCCCATCGCAGAAACGATGCGTCGCATTCTCGCTACAACACCGCGACCCCCACCTTGTCTTATATGGAACGGAACGCAAGTGCGCACGGACGTCTCGTCATCCCCGGGTATCTCGGACTCGTGGTCAACCGCGTAGGTCCCGAGGGTCTTCGTCGTACGGGTGTACAAGTCCTCCTTGAGAAAGTCTTCCTCCAGATACCAGCCGGAACGATAGCAGTCTTCGATCCGGCTACAGCTGTGGTTAAGAATCGCCGGATATCTCATGATGCTAATGGGCCCTGTGCACCACTCTTCACTGCTGTAAGAGAAGGAGATAGCGAGCTCGAGCGGGTCTACGTCTTCGGCGATGTCCCCGAGGTATGGAAGGAGGTGTTTGGTGAGCACCTTCCTGACATCCACCTCCCATTTCTGCGCCAGTGCCGGTATGACGGCCTTGAAATCATCGATGGTAACTGCTTCGGACATGGGAACATCGATGATTTCCCGGCATTCGGGCGTAAGAGCCAGGTCGATGTACTGTGGACGGCAGTCCATGCGCACGTTACGTGGGCATCAGGAAAAACCTCCATCGCTAACGAGCGTTAATTAGTATTTACGGCCAAATAAACTAGATAATCACCAACTCACCTTGATCATTCTGTCCGAAGTCGTCGGACTGGTTTCCTTCTATCGCAGGCGGACGCTATAGCATCTCGCAACATATCTAGCTCACAGAAAACTTCAAGAAGGATGCAATGAGCACGGTTGTGCGTGTTCTCGGGGAACCAGAGACGCACCGATTTCGTCCAAGTCCGTCCGTGTTTGCCCTAAACTCTGGCGCCAAACTTCAGTCGCCTTTATGCCTGCGCCGCGCTCCCCCGGCGTCTATGCATCTTGACCTCGGACCACTACCTGCTTCTTTTTATATGTGCTGCTTACTATGTTATGGCTAGTCTTCGGTCTCGATAGGTGGCTTCTCGTGTACGCTCTGCTCTGCTATGCGACCTAAACCACCTCTAGCTATCAGAGCTTGTGGCTCGTTGTCGCTCTTCTTTCCCGGCGGTCTTTCGGGAAAACAAATAAGGTATGTGTACTTCCGTTTGCATTACTGGATGTGCCAGTCAACTGGCATACGAAGTAAGCTTCACATCTCCTTTCTTACAATTGAGCTGGCGGCTTGTACCAGTTTGTGGGTCCACACGGCACCGTCGGCGCATTGCGATGCTCTTAAGTCGCCTGTCAACGTCCGTGTTCTTCTCTTTCCGACTAGAGCGCGACCATTGTCTTTACTCAGGTGCGCATTTTCATTTTTGCCCTACAGATCCTCCGTGATTTGAAAGGTAGGCGGTCTTTTGCTCGTCCTGTAGAGCTACATCTGTATGTCTTTACCATAGTGCAATATATTTCATTTTGCGTAATCTTTCGGGTGTAACGATCAGAATAAGGAGAAAGATATAAAGCTACCGCCGCCTTCATTGTCAACTAATCGAGCTAAGCCGCGCTCATCACGCCCTCATAAAAGCCGGACCTTGCTTTTTAAGCTAAACGGCTATTCCCGCTTATTAGCACTCATTAGCCCTCGTTATGGATGGAGGTTTTTCCTGATGGGAGGGTCACGTAGTGCGCTTGGATTGCTTGTTCGAGAATTTGGAGCCGCGCCCATATAGTCTTCCGGTATTCGCCGTTGAGGCGATTCTCTCTGGTGCTCTTCAGGAAGTCGTCGAGTACAACTAGCACCTTCTGCCACGCTGCGGCATCATATTCCCTGGTCCGTCAACATGTATGTGGGTGCGTAATAGATCGTATACGTACCTCCTTCAGTCAGCTTGGATGACTGCCGGACAACTGGCATCTTGGACATTGTATCGAGGCCCTGTTTGCCCATGAAGTCAAGATCCTCACCCCACCCGGCGTCTTTTAATTTGACCAGGATGCTGCAGTACGGCGCCATTGTAAGCGCAAACTCTCACCTCTATACAGTCACGAGATGAACGTACGCGCTGAAACGCTGCTGCCTAACATCGTCAAGATGGGCTACCCTCTGCTCTTCTTGCTGATGCATCCAGTGGTGGATGGCGTTGGCGTACTAGTACCACGTTGTCTCAGCATATCCGCGGATTCGGAGGAGACCCATTATAATGCGAACATACCGGAAGACGAACCGCGTGCTCCGCCTTGACTTGATCGGGGAAGGTCTTCTTTACCGCTGAATCCGGGAGGGCCTTGAACTGCTCGAAGACACGGTTCACGTCGTCTACAAATAGACGGTTGAACTTCTGGTCGTACGAAAGGCTGCGAATGTGAAGGAGGGTCGGATGAGTATTCTGATTTCCGCGCAGACATCGTTTCACTCACTGGGAACTCCCCTCAACGTGGAAATGGGAGGTGATTGTGTTGGAATAGAACATGATGCGTAACATTGAGCCATCTTCGATCTCCTCTGTGCTCGCTGCCGCATGGCCATACCATATCGTCCTGAGAAATGTACTTTGAGCGCATCCTCGCCGCACGCAGTGTCAATGAAGTAGCGTACCTTTTCTGGAGGCACGCGGAACACAGACGAACGAACCAGCCAAACACGATCTTACGAATATTGGGAGCACCGCAATTCTAGCCACACCTCAGCACGCTGCATACAGCGAATTGAAGCAGGAACGTACGTGGCAATGCGGCGAGTAGAGCAGGTAAGCGAACTTGCGCTCGCCCATCCAAGGCGGCCGGTCCGGGAGCCCAGGCGTATTCTCCCGCGCGGGCACCCACAGCTTCTGCTCGTCGTTCTTGTCCGCGAAAAAAGCGCGGAACTTCTTGTTGGTCCGCGAGAGATTAAATATGTCTTCCAACTCTAGGAAGTTATAGATCTAGCAGTATGCTTGGGGTGAGTCTTTGAGGTCCGCGCCGGAGCTGCGTGGGGCTTGCCTCGAGCTGGACCTCCACCGCGAGGTCCGGAAGCGTCTGTAGACGACCCTTGTGCACAACACATTTTAGCGCGTCAGGGTTAGCCGTCTTAGCCTTTGCTTTCCGAATCGGTTTAGCGTCAGTAGCCGGACCTTCAGCGACGGAACCATCTGCTTGAGCGGCTTTGGCTGACGCCCTCGTTGTACGCCGGGGCACTGCAGCTACTGGAGGCGCGTCACCGTCGGTCCGCTGTTTCTTACGAGGGGGCATAGCAGAGTGGACAGAGATGATGGTGGTTTGGGTGAAAGGGAGCTTCCCCGACGAACAAAGAGACATATGGCGGGCGTCAAGGGCGGTGGCTAAGAGCAAGAGATCTGCCGCGGAGATCGCCCGTCGCGCACAATGGAACGCGCTCGCGTCACGTCCGCATGATCTGTGACCCCACGCATTATGTGAACAATTCAGGACTCAGACGCTCTCTTCGCGGGTTTCCGTCAAGTACGACGCCATGGAATGGGTACGTGGACTACGGGGGGAGGGGCGTATTTCACACAGCAGGCAGGCAAGGTCGTGGGATGCGTTAGTTAGCGGTTACTAGTAAGTTCTATTTTTTTTTATTTTATGGTCCAAATCAGGACGAGCCGGAGCACGTGTACTGACTTTTAAGGCAAGGTTGGTGGGAATTTCACCCATAACACCATAACGGGGGAAATGCATTACGCACATAACTGATATGTTATAGTGTGGGACTGCCTTTCTCGACCGTCGGTTGTGTTTCAACCGTGGTCCCAGAAAACAGGCTTACCCACTAAAACCCCCGGATAACTAGTCCAGTCGTTGGGCAGTGCGTGCTCGTCTTCGAGCAGACCTTGCCATGTCGCGCAGACGAGTTTCTTGTTAAGAGCTCTGCGCCTCAGGGCGGGAGAAGACAGGGCCTGGTCCATGTGGAGGCGGCGGTTTATCGTGTGTAGCCAGCGTCTTCTTATCTCCCGTAGGGAATGGTAGCGTTCTGGATCTCCTTCTCTGCCGATAACACGCTCACATCGCAGCTTCCAAATTAGATGGCAGGATTCCGTAAGCACAATGCGCAAGAGGCGAGTCCGTCCCGGTATGGCCTTACCGTCGGCGCATTTAATAGATATAGCCGGCGCCGCGAGCAGCGCTGCGAAATGTAGCTGTGGTATTGTAACTCCTGCTCTTCGGAGGAGGTCAAGTACGTTTCTCCAGATTACAAGGGCTCCCGGGGCGTCGCACTCATTCCAAATGTGTTCAAGGCTTTCCGGGACTGCACAATGGGAGCAGGACGTGCGCTGCTCATAGCCAGGGATATTGTCCCAGTAAGTGCCAATTTTGAGAGCACCGTGTAGAGCTTTCCACCAGAAATCGCGCAGCGATCTCCTGGTGTCATCACGACGGAGAGCTCTCCAAATCTCTCCCGGTTTGAGGGAACTATTCCAGTCTTCGTGGAGGGTAGCCGAGATTCGCACGGTAAGTATCTCCGTTTGGCGACGTGAGGGTGTGTTCTTCCATAGTTTAATTGCTTTGTACGCCAGGCGCTGAGTGGTGGAGCTTAGTTTGCATCCGCTTGCGAGGAAAGCCGAGTTCGGTGGTGGCATAGCGTCCCCCGCGGGCGCGTCCGCGCCTAGTTTCGCCAGGATGTCTGCCCCTTCGTTCCCCGGGACGCCCGAATGGCCTTTGACCCACTGAAGAAACATCGGAGCGGATCTGGCACGCAACCGGGCGACAGCGTCCTTAAGCAGAGGTACATTTATTACACCGATCCAGCCGCGGTCCTCCCAGTTCGGCAGGTGGATTGTGAGCCCGTCTACAACCATCTTCGAGTCGGAGATAATGGTGAGTGGAGCAAAAGGGGGAGCCGCATGCACTGCTAATGAGACTGCGTAGATTTCAGCGACTTGGTTCGACTGCACAGGCCCAGGTACACGCTGTGCGATATTACGAGGGTCCTCGTGTGCGAACCAGACACCAGACCCACAACGTGGCCCTCCCGCGGCGTCGTTTTTGAAGGAGCCGTCCGTGTACACGGTGACATCCTCCGTCGGGACGTTGAACGGGCGCGGCGCCCTTCTAGCTATGGTGAGTCGCTCATTGCTTGTTGTGAAGATACGTATTGCGTCCGTTAGTGGGGTTGTCGACGACACCGAGGGGTCGAAGCGCAATTTGCCGTTCTGGCTTCTCGCTTCTTCGTTCTTCCTCTTGCGCGACTTTGTTAGAGAGAGACCGTCACTGTGCGCCGTGCTGCCTGGGGCCCACGCGGGCGACAGCTTTCTTAGCAGCTCGCGCGCCGCCATCGCACATTTGTGCGGGTTCTTACATCCCCGAACATTACGATGCGCGGTGCACGGATCACATGTACATCTGGCGGACGCGGTGTGCGGGTTAGTAGCTGCTGCGTCCGGACGAAGGCGTCGCGCAAGCGTGGTACATGCGCCTACCGTGCTTATGTTGTGGCACTCTCTCAGGCATTTTGCTGTCTTGGAGTTTGGCATGACTCGTCCCGAGAGAGGGCTGATGTGTGACCACACCGGCAGGGCCTCTTTCAGGGCATCTGTGGGATTCCGTACGTCGAGGCGCGCACCGTATCTTTTGGCCGCCTTTAGCATGCGTGCGAGATCGTGCGGCAGCCCGTTCGCCTGTCTTGTAGATACCTCCCATTCTTGTAAGAAGGTATTGATTTTACTCTTCTCGTCTAGGTGTCTATACGAAGAGTGGACTGCCCGTGCGAGAAGAACGTCCGCGATGTACGCCCAGCGCGGTCGAGATGGGGACATATCCAGGTAGCTCCGCAGCCATACTAGGTCGATTGCTTCGTTACGAGCGCCGAGATCGAGTACGTTGAGCCCCCCTCCGGATACGGGAAGTTGCAGAGTGGCTTTGTTTATCGTCGGGTGCGCCGCGCCCTTCCATATGAAGGATTGAGCTGCTCTCTCAAGTTCTTTCTCTATTCCAGCGGGCATAGATTGTGCCTTTGCAAGAAATTGAGTTCGGCCTCCGAGTTCAAGTCCGACAATTAACTTGCGGCCGTACATGGTAGGATTTCTTCTCTCCCACCGCTCTAAGTTCTTCTTTATAGTGTTCACCATAGGCTCCCATGGTGTGGTCGGGTCAATTTTATTTCCCACCCACGCACCTAGTACGCGGACGGATTGTCCGTCAGCTGCTATGCGCATGTCCGCGGGAAAGACAGGCCCGCCCGGTTTTAGCGAGCGTTCGCGAGTGAAGCGTTCGCGGAATTCAGTGGAGCCAATGGATAGGGCCTCCGTCTTGCCTTTGTTGAACTTGGCACGGGACGCTAAGCACCACTTGTCCAGAATGGACAGCAGGTCTTCGTACTTGTCGTTCTCACTGATGAACGTCGTAGTATCGTCTGCAAAGAGAGCTGCGATCAGGCGCTCCGCGACACCCGGTAGTGTAAAGCCCTCGAGATCTGAATTTCTCAAGGCCGCAGCAAGCGGTTCAATCGCAAGGTCGAAAAGAAGACAAGAAAGTGGGTCGCCCTGGCGTACACCCCTCGTGATATTAAAGGAGTGTCCTTTCTTTCCATTTATCATGACCGCACTTGTAGCTCCTGCGTATAACACTTTGAGTGTGTTAATAAAGTTCGCCGGGAAGTTTAGGTGTTCTAGCACTCTCCATAAGTATGCATGGTGTATTCTATCGTAGGCTTTTTCTTGGTCTAGAGCAATAATGACTCCATTCTGCTCCTCGGCCTCTGCATAGTCCGTCATTAACTTGGTCAATTTTATATGGTCAAAAATTTGGCGGCCTGGGATGAAACCCGCTTGGTCTGGGTGTATCAAGGGTGATACACAGTTACACAGTTTGGAGGTCAGGGCTTTTGTCATGATTTTATAGTCAGCATTGAGGACTGTGATAGGGCGATAATTTGTGATTCTCCTCATATCTCCTTTCTTATACAGAGGGCAGATCCAGCCCTCTGCAAAGCGGGAGGATTCAATAATACCGTAGGACTCGATATCATTATATACTTGTTTCAGCGCATCAGCGATGTCAAGTGCCGGTTCATTCCTTCGTTTCGCACTTTCAAACTTCGCGAGGTACGCTTTCCATATATCAGAAGGTAGGCCATCCAACCCTGCAGCTTTGTTAGGGGCTGTGCCTAATATCGCACTCTCTACATCGTTTCGCGACAGTTTACGGCCGAGTGCGCCTTTTTGTCTAGACGTCAGGCGTGCTTCAAAACCATGCAGTACCGCGTCTACCTGTTCTGCATGTACTACATCAGAGACGGGAAGGTCGAGGCGTTGCAGCTCATCGTAGAAACTAGTAGCCACTTCGCACATTTCCTTGGTATTGTTTGCGTAGCCGCTCGTCTCATCAAGTCGTTGTAATTCGTATATAGTGCCGTCCGGCTTTATCGGGGCATTTTGACGCATCCAGTATTGGCCGATTTTCTCCCCTGCGGTCCAGTCTTTCGCAGCCGTCCGAACACGTCTGAGACCGAAACGTTTCGCTTGTAGCGTCTGTATTTTCTCATGTATTAGTGCCGCGGTTTCCGCCCTCGCCGACTCGGGGGTAGAGTCACCCACAGCAGGGTTCTGTACGGCGCGCTGTTGGCCTTTCAAGGACGCAATCTTTTGGTCGAGTCTTGGCATCCAAGACTTAGCGCGAGCACGCGCGGTATCCGCAAGTTTCGTTTTAAAGTCCAGGAAGAGCAGTTGGGCGTTCGCCTCCTGCGTCCGAGCCTGGAGACTATTTAATTTAGTACGAAGTTCGAGGCCGAGCTCACGCATGTTATTAAGGAAGACGGGCTCATCAAGGAGGGACAGCGGCAGTTTCCAACGACCGGGACCGACATGGGGGGCACTATAGTTGGCAATCGATAGTGATACAAGTTGGTGGTCCGACAGCGGGCCCGGGCTGTCCGTGTCCCAGTCGGCTGTTGCGTTGCTCAGAGAGCGCTTTACGTAGACATCAGCATTTTGCATCACTGTCTGGAGCGTCTTGGCCGAGACATTTCAGACATTACAGACAGTAAACAAGACCCAGACACATGCACTGGTGTGGGCAATGCCCCTTGTCTGATATCAGCCAATGTGGCTGATACAAGCACCACCAGATTGACAGGTACTGGAACTGGGTCCTGAAGTCTGTCAGGATCAGGACATGCCCTTACCTGCCAGATAGGGGTCTTGCTAACAGTCAAATATTCTGTAGAGCAAGACAACTGGTCTGTCAGTAAGCTCCTATCCCAGAATGCTGGTCAGGCACCAACCTGGCATGTTCAGACCATGTCTGGAACTGTCCTTATGATGCACCTTGAGGATGTCTGGAAGATGTACCTGGACACCAGTACCAGGTTCATACAAGGTGTCTGAAATATGTCTGAACAGGCTTACCACAGTCTGTGTTAGACTCAAAAGGCTAGATATTGCCCTTGATGCACACCAGCACACACTACATTGCTGGACAGTCATTTGATTATCCAGAACAAACACTAACATGCTGTAGTATAAGTCCCAAGTGCAACATGACAGCCCAGTGTCCAATTAGAAGTGTCTGCAATAGAGTCAATAACAAGTACATCATACAACAAGAGCACTCACATATGGTATCCACAAGATAGGCAATTAAGGAGAGTGAGCATCTAAGAAGATATGAGAAACCATGAACTGCAATCAGGAACCAACTCACATGAAAGGATTGTGCAAAGTATCATTAAGAGATCTGTGGAAGATAGGTCAGCAAAGGATAAACAGTAAACAAAAAGAAATACCTAATGGTGATCAGACTTGAGCAAGCGCTACCAAACAATCAGCGGAATAGACGACAGAAAGCCAAAGAACAGTGCACACAAACTAGCCGGACTCCAGCACAAAGTCGTCGTCCTCGTGGTCGTCGCCGTCCCCGTCCCACTGCGCGTAGGTGCTATCGGGCTCACCGCGCGATCGAGAATCCAGCCAGTACCCGTTGGCACCCTCGAGGATACGGTCCCACTTCTCGTCAGTGAAGCTAGACACCGTGTTCACGAAGAACGAGCCCTTCCGCACCACCCGCGGCACACCACGCTCGCAGACGGTGCTGTCGCCCCAGTTCTCCTTGGAGAAGTACCCAAGGACGCCCTTGGGCACACGCAGGTTCCCCGAGCGCCAGTGGGTGAGCGCAAATTCGAGCTATGGAAGGCGTCAGATAGATCACATAGAATAAACCTCACGGCGTACGGCGAGCTTGGCCATGATGAGGGAACCGACCGGACGAGCGTCACTCAAGTTGTCCTCGGGGATGTCGGCGAGCATGTCGAAGTGGACGATGCCGAAGATCTCCAAGATCAACGGGTTCTCGAACCGCCCCTGGCCCCGTGTTAGCAGCTAGACGACAACACAATAGCATGATACATGACAGACGTACCGTACGCTTTTCAGCATCGGCAAAGAGAAGCGGCAGGTCCTTGTCGTCGCCCTTGTTAAGCTCGGTGTTGCAGAACTCGGCGCGGCCCTCAGGCGTCGCAAAGTCGTAGACCTCCGGCTGCAGGTTCCCATCGAAGTAGCGACTGACGACCGCTAGGGCGGTCTTCCTGAATGCGGCATGCAGATCCTGGATGCGGTAGTCGATCTACACAAACACAGATTAGCGTACATGCCATACGCACATGGCAACACTTGCCAGATCATGGACGACATCGTTCGCACGAACGGTGTAATTGTAATCCGGCCAGACTCTCTTCACCAAGGACTGCTTCTCGGTCAGGGAGAGCCCGGTCCACGGCGGAAGAGTTCCGACGTACTCCCTCACGAGAGGGAGCAGCACCGTGTTGAAACGTGCGCGGAGGGAATCTGGAACATCCCTGTTCGTGAACTTCTTCCGCTTCTTCGGCTTGCCGTCGGCGGCGATGCTGTTGTTGAGCGGAGTGATACGTGTGAAGACCTCAGCCTGTAACACAATATCATCAGCGGGGGATAAAAGTAACATGATGATGACTTACACGAGTCGGAACGAGCACCTTCGCGCCCCAACGCCGATCCTCTGGATCATGGACAACATTAGCAAACAAGCACTATACATGAGGGCACACATACCTTCGTCGAGCGCATCATGCTCCACAGTCTCGTCCTCGTCATCGAGACCGGCCTCCCGCATACCGCCTTCATCTTCGGGCGGAGCCTGGGGCGGCTGTGAGGCCTTCGACTTGGTGGCGGTGGCTGAGTTCGACTTGGAAGACTTGAAGGACGCCTTGATACCCCCGACGGTGGCTGGCAAGATGTTGATGTAAGTCGCGTGGACGACGAGCGGAGAGACCCGACGTACCTGATGTGCGTGCAGCACCGGACGTTCCAGCCCTACCTGATGGCGCCGAGCCCTTGCTCGACGCTGCGGCGGTCTTGCTCGATGCCGGGGCCGGCCTGCTCGACGCCGCAGCCGTCTTGCTCGACGCCGCAGCCGTCTTGCTCGACGTTGCGGCCGTCTTGCTCGACGCTGCGGCCGTCTTGCTCGACGCTGCGGCCGTCTTGCTCGACGCTGCGGCCGTCTTGCTCGACGCTGCGGCCGTCTTGCTCGACGCTGCGGCCGTCTTGCTCGACGCTGCGGCCGTCTTGCTCGACGCTGCGGCCGTCTTGCTTGACGCTGCGGCCGTCTTGCTTGACGCCGCTGATGCCTGGCCTCCCGAATTCGACTTCCTTGTGCGGGGCAGCGTTGGCTGCGGCGATGACGGCGGCGGTGATGCAGCATCGTCCTCTATGGGATGCGAGGCGGACGACGGCGCAGTCGGATGCGATCGTGGGCGAGATCGAGATCGAGATCGAGCTGGTGAGCCTGCACGCGCTGCTGACGAGCCTTGCGGGGGTCGAGATCGGGAGCGAGAAGGCGCCGCCGAAGAACCTTGCGGCGGGCGTGACGACGGACGGGATTGAGAGCGTGATGGTGCCGCCGAAGAGCCTTGCGGCGGGCGCGATGATGGACGGGACTGAGAGCGAGATGGCGCAGTCGACGAAGCTGGTGGTGGGTGTGACGATGGACGAGATGACCCCAGACGGGAAGGCGGCGGATGCGAGTCGGGATGGGCTGATGCGGAACGTGACGGGGGTCGGGACTCGGGGATGGATGACTGGGGGCGGGACGATGGACGGGACGGTGCCGTCTTTGAGGAGGCGTTGCCCCGGTTCACAGGACGAGGAGCGGGTTTTCGCCGCGGTGGGGGCGTCGGTGGGGGCGTGGACCTAGAAAGAGAATGGATGACTAGCTCTGCGGCGAGTAGAGGGACGTACTCTTCATCAGATTCAGCCGGTGGTGTCTGCGGAGGTGCGGTCTTCGACTTCTTGCCCGCCGATGGTTTGCTAAAGCAGGTATCAGCCGGCGCAATGTAATGGTACACTGAACATACCGCGGGGTGTCTGGTAGGCTCGGCGCCCCCTTGCGCTTCCCGCCAGCAGGCTTACTGATCTCGACCGATACACGCGTGCGGGCTTCAGTGACAGCCGCTCGACCGCTCAGCTTCTTAGCCTTCGTCGGGGGCTCCGGCTCGACGTCCTTGTCGACGTCCATGTTGTTGTCGTCCTGGGGCGGGGCATTGGCCATCGCTTTCGCTTTCGCCCTTGTAGTCCTGGCGTTGCTCGTAGCGGGACGCCCAGTGCGAGCGGCGGGCTTCTTGGGCTTTGGTCCCTTCGCATTGGCGTCACTGACGTCCATGTTGTCGTCGTGCTCATCCGGAGGCGGGGTGACGTCCTTCGTCTTTGTCTTTGTCTTCGTCTTTGTGTTGCCCTTGGCGTGGCTGCTCCGAGCGGCGGACTTGGCGGACTTGGAAGCCTTCGGGCTGTCGTTGTTGTCGTGGCCGTTGTCGTCGAGTTCATCAGGAAGGATAGGGGAGAACCGATAGTACGGGCGCTGGGACCCATCGTCGTCGCTCCCAATCGACATGTTCTCGTATGTTATTCGGTACCGGGGCGCGAGCTCTTCCCTATCCGATGCATCTTCGTTGTCGTCGAGCTCCGGATCGTCCTCATCGTAGTGCCTCAGGCGACCTGTGGACAGTGCATAAATGATCGGCATAGATCTAACAGGCGTACAAGACGTACGCAGCGGAGCCTTTCCCTTCTCCTGACGGCGAGTCTTTGCGGGGTTGGGGGATGATTCGGGGCCATCGAACTCTGTCGCTGGCTCAACATCGTCAGTGGGGGCAGCGGGTTCGTCGGCTGGAGGTGTATGAGCGTTGCAAATGTCAGCATCAAGCAAGTGATTGGGGACGTACTAGGCGGGAAGTCCACGTCCTTGTCCTCCTCCGGGGGCTCAGTGTCCGCCTCCTCGTCCTTCGTAGCCTTCTTGCGCCCGTTCCGTCGACCCATGCGTGCGGCTCGGATGCCCTTGCGCTCCGCGGCGGCTTGCTCTTCCTCTGCGGCGGCTTTGTTCTCGATGCGTGCTACGTTGTCGATAGCGGCCTGCTTCAAGGCTGCTTTTGAGGGCTGCTTCTTCTTGGCCTGCCTTTTCTTGGTCGGAGAGCGAGTGGCCTGCTTACGAGGTGCCTTCTTGGCGTATCCGTAGTCGTCTTCGTCCTCGTCTGATAGGTCAGGCCAGCCGGGGTGAGCGAATTCGTTTGCCGGCCGCGTCTGCATGCAGCCAGAGCCGGCGCCGAGAGTTCCGTTGCCCCTAGTGTGTGCGAGGAGGTGAAGAGAAGCAGTAGGGAGTGAAAGAGGGTACGCTGGATGACGAGCAGCGTTGGCAGAGCATGGAGTGGAAGCGCCCGCCGTCGGAGATGGCCAGTCACGGTGTGACGGGCGGCTGTAGGCCTCCCTCGCTGCATCTCCTCTCCTCGAGTACATATCTCTCGCTCTACATCTGTCCCTCTGCCCAACCCCTTCTCAGCCGAATAACGCGCCGGTCTGCTGTGATACCACCACAAACCAAACAACCCCAGAACATACAGCTACTCTGACGCGAATCGCGCGCTCGGCATCCGCAAACACGCCCACACTCGCCCTTACGTCTACGCCTATGCCCATGCCCGCACCTACCCCCTCACCACATTCACGCGACAGCACGAACTCGCCTTATCCCCATGCACGCGGCATCGAATGCACATCTCACCCAAGTTGTGACGTGTTGCGTTCCGCTAATCGTCGGTAAGTACTCATTTGAGGCTCTGACACCGGTGTGAGCACCTCCCGAGGTTGACTGCGACATACAGGCCTCGTGAAAACATCAATATCATATTACCAGTATAGCAAGGTATGTACATGCGCCATCTCGAGACTACGTACGTCCCTGTCCGCACTCCGCACGCACCCTCGCGCCCGCACTCTGCACTCGCGCCCGCCTGCACTCGTGCTTGCCCGCTTGTACGTCCCCGCCTGCACTCCGTACTCGCCCTCACGCCCTCACTCACGCCCGCCCGCGTTCGCGCCAGCCCGCGTTCGCGCCAGCCCGCGCTCACACCAACCTGCCCCGCCCACACTCCGCACACGCCCGCACTCCGCACTCGCGCCCGCACTCCGCCCTCACGCCCGCCCGCGCTCGTGCCAGCCTGCCCTGCCCACACTCCGCCCTCACGCCCGCCCACACTCTGCATGCGCCCTCGCGCCCGCACTCCGCACTCCGCACGCGCCCTCGCGCCCGCACTCCGCACTCCGCACGCGCCCTCGCACCCGCACTCCGCATGCGCCCTCGCACCCGCACTCCGCACACGCCCTCGCGCCCGCCCGCACTCGTGCTTCCCCGCTCGTACGTCCCCGCCTGCACTCCGTACTCGCCCTCACGCCCTCACTCACGCCCGCCTGTGCCGGCGCCAGCCCGCCCTCGCGCCAAACCGCCCCGCCCGCACTCCGCACGCACCCTCGCGCCCGCACTCCGCACGCGCCCTCGCACCCGCACTCCGCACGCGCCCTCGCACGCGCCCACACTCCACAGTCGCGCCTGCCCGCACTCACGCTTGCCCGCCGGTTCATCCCGCCTGCGCTCTGCACTCGCCCTCACGCCCGCCCTCACGCCCGCCTACACTCGTGCCTGTCCACCCATACTTCCGCCCGCCCGCTAGTACTCGCACCCCACACACACACGCACGAACACCCACACCCGTGCTTGCCGGCTGCACTCACATCCGCCTGCTCGCGCGCTCACCCGCTCGCACGCTTACCTGTACGTCCCCACGCCTGCCCTCACTTACACCTGTTCGTACTCACACCCGTCCACGCACTTTACAAGCGGCTGAGCGACGCAAGAACGTCGAGGCGGATTACGTTCCACCACGTGCACATTTGCGTCGCTGACTACAAGCACCGGTATCGATGGTGAGTGATCTTCTCACGATGGGTGCCCCACTGACTCCGCTCGCTGCAGTACGCTTGCCTCTCTTCCCCCTCTCCTTATCGCCCTCATCGTCCTCGTCACTGTGCCCGACGTCGTCGTCCTCGAGTCCAAACCGCCGACGCTGTACGCTTCGTAATCCGTGGAGACCCTGTTGCCTTGCAACACGCTAGGACTGACTCGTAAGTATCACAGAATCCCTATACCGCCGCTGCATTGCTCACAGCCTCGACATCCATCCTTTATAGTCACCTTTATCCCCTGGCTTTCACCTCCCACCGTGTCGGGGCTCCCCGTATCGGACGTCAACACATCGTCACCTCACCGCACTTCGGTGCTCGGTACTCGACGCTCTCTGCGTTGTATCGTGCCCGCCCTCGCTGTGTCTGCTTCCGCCCTGCCCCACTGTGCCACGTTTAAACCTCCGCGTCCAAACCTCACCGCGCCGGACTATACCGCGTCCGACCCCACTCCCCGACGCTTGCCCGCATCCGCCCTCGCCACATCGAACCTCGTGATTTGGGACCTCACTGCGTTGGTCCACACCACCTCTCCCCTCACCCCCTCTACCCACCTCGTCGGTTCTTGACGCTGACTGCGTCGTACTGCTTCCGCCCCTACCGCGTCCACCCTCACTGTGTCCGCCCTTGCCGTGCCCGACTACTCCGCGTCCGCTCTTGCTGCATCCACCCTCGCCACGTCCGCCCCCGCTACACCCATCCCGGCTGTGTCCGCTTTTGCGACGTCCACCCTCGTTGTGCCCGCCTGCGCCGTGTTCGCCCTCGTTGTGTCCGCCTGCGCCGCGTTCGCCCTCGTTGTGTCCGCCTGTGCCGCGTTCGCCCTCGTCGTGTCCGCCTGCGCCGCAGCTGTCTGCGCCGCTCCTCGCTGTGACCGCCTGCGCTGTGTTCGCCCTCGTCGTGTCCGCCTGCGCCGCGTTCGCCCTCGTCGTGTCCGCCTGCGCCGCAGCTGTCCGCGCCGCATCTGTCCTCGCCGCGTCCGCCCTCGTCACGTATCCCCTCACCACGTCTGCCCTCGTTGCGTCTCCCCGCACCGCATCCTCCTTCGTGTCAGCCCTCGCCGCATCCGCCCTCGCCGCGTCAGCCCTCGCCGCATCTACCCGTGCCGCGTCCATTCTCGCCGCGTCCGTCATCGCTGTGCCCGCCCGCGCCGCATCTATCCTCGCTGCATCTGCCCTCGTTGTGTCCACCTGTATTACGTCCACTGGTGACGTGTCCGCCTTCGCTGTGTCCCGTGTCCGCCCTCACTACTGTCAACTTCGCTCCACATGCGGCGTGCTCAACGTTCAGGATTTGTTGCACGACGGATCCCATGTAAGATCCCGGGATGCCGTCGCACCTTCAAGTCAGATAGAGGGATGCGGCTTCATATTGAAGCCATACATCTCACATCGCCTGCCTCTGCTGCACCCATAGCGGGTGGATCTCGAAGAGTGCGTGCTACTGTTCGGGCGGAGGAGAACGTCCAGGGGAGTGATCATCCAGGTGTGATTGATGTTGTCTAGTACCATATGTTTTAAATGTATTGATGTAGTGTTGGGTAGATGAAGCCATGGATGACGATGAAGCTATGGATTACGACGAAGCTATGGATGAGGATGAGGATGAACCCATTGTTGATGATGATGATGAGACACCTCCTCCGGTGCAGCGTCGAGATGATGGAGGGTATATGGAGACTCACCCCCACCTTACTGGTATAGTTACACATTGTTATGAACATCCTACATGTAGGACTCACATGTATGCAGATGCCCCTTGTGATCGCCAAGGACGTCCTCTTGATCCTGATACTCCTCCACTACCCCGAGACCGTCCACCACCCACCGACTACTTCCCTTTCCAGAACCGCGCTCACTTCGAGTGTGCAGACTTCCTGTTCCGTGAGGAACAGATGTCTGGTGGGAAGGTTGACAGGCTCATGCAGATCCTTGCTGCCTTCTATCAGCAGAGTGCCCCTGCCCGTCCAGCTCCCTTCTCGGATGCTGATGACCTCTATGGTACCATCGATGACATACCTCTTGCTGGTGTGCCATGGTGGTCATTCAGTGTCTCGTATCAGGGTCCACGTCCTGCTAGGGAGGAAGATGTGCCAAGGTGGATGACGCAGGAATATGTGGTCTGGTACAGATGTCCCGACCAAGTTCTCAAGTCTCAGCTTGCCAATCCTGACTACAAGAGCAACATGGACTGGGTACCCAAAAAGGTATACGACAAGCATGGCGAGCGAGAGTATGAAAACTTCATGTCTGGGGACTGGTGCTGGAAGCAAGCGGTAGAGTGACTTCCGCTTTTTTGCAGATATGGTGCTGACTGTCTTATAGGATACCATTGCACAAGACCCAGCAACACATGGGGCCACCTTCTGCCCTATCATCCTGGGGAGCGACAAGACAACTGTGTCAGTTGCTACAGGGGCTCATGACTACTGGCCTTTGTATATCTCTAACGGCCTGGTGCACAACAATATCCGGCGTGCTCATCGAGATGCTGTCTCTGTGGTGGCCTTTCTGGCTATCCCCAAAAGTATGTTGCTATGTATTCTCACCTGTGCTGCTGCAAGTCTAACTCATTGTAGCGGACCGGCAATATGATGCTGATGCAAAATTCCGCAAATTCCGCCGCCAGCTCTTCCATGACTCTTTACGGCACATTCTTCTCTCCACACTCCCAGCAATGAGAGAGCCACAGGTTATGCTTTGCTCGGATAACCACTACCGGCGCATCATCTATGGTTTGGGTCCTTACATCGGGGACTACCCAGAGCAGACACTCCTAGCCTGCACAGTCCAGGGCTGGTGTCCAAAGTGAGTTTATGCTATGGGAACCTTTAATTGTAATGATTGATAAGGGTTTTTAATTCAGGTGCACAGTCCATAGGACAAACTTGGAGGGGATAGGGGTCCCCCGCTCACATGAGCATACTGAAGCTGTCAGTGCAGTACTTTCTCGCAAGGCACTGTGGGAGGACTATGGCATTGTCTCTGGGCTTGAGGTAAGTTGTATCTCCCATTCAGAATATGTGTACTGATGGTTTGTTATAGCCATTCACTACTACCTTCCCACGTGCTAACATCCATGAGATGCTCTCGCCAGACCTGCTGCATCAGGTCATCAAGGGTACCTTCAAGGATCATCTTGTTACTTGGGTTGAGCAATATCTGGTCATTCAGCATGGAAAGCCTGCTGCTACTGTCATTATGGCTGACATCGATAGAAGGTATGTGGGCAGAAATTGTGTGTAACTCACCTTATGCTGATGCTGCTTGTAGGATTGCGGCCACACCTCCCTTCACTGGCCTGAGACGCTTTCCAGAGGGCCGCAAGTTCAAGCAATGGACTGGGGATGACTCCAAGGCACTAATGAAGGTATGTTCAAAATTCTATTGGAATATATTGCAGCTAATAATGGGAGGTAAGACATTCATCCCTGCTGTTGCTGGCTACATTCCCCCCAAAATGCTCTTAGCTCTCAGCACATTCATGGACTTCTGCTACCTGGTGCGCCGGCCCAAAATCACTAGCCAGAGACTCCTTGATATCGAGGATGCCTTGGAGCGGTTCCAAGATGCCCGCACCATCTTCGCAGAAACTGGTGTGCGCTTTGATGGTTTCTGCCTTCCACGACAGCATGCTCTCAACCACTATCCCCGTGCCATCCAGCTCTTTGGTGCCCCTAATGGTCTATGCTCCTCCATCACAGAGTCGAAGCATATTCGGGCAGTGAAGGAGCCTTGGCGCCGCTCCAACCGCTATGAAGCTCTTGGCCAGATGCTTCTTATCAACCAACGGCTGGACAAGCTTGCTGCTGCGAAAGCGGACTTCACTGCACGCGGGATGCTAGAGGGACCCCTCTACGGCTTCGAGGACCTGTTCGCATCGCTAAACGCACCTGCACCTGCCCCTGCCCCTGCACCACTATCAGAGTCAGAAGAGAGCAGTGATGATGGCTCTGATGACTCCACAGAGGAGTCATCAACTACTGTGGTCATGGCTAAGCGCAAAGGTAAGTGGAAATAAAATTCAATCGCTTTTTTATTGCCTTCTAATAATGGTTTAAATAGTTCCTCGTATGCCCAACAACCCAGTGGAGCTGGCCTATCGTTTTAGGTGTCCCAGCCTTGTTCAACTCATTGGTGACTACCTTGCCACACAACCAGAGTATGACCATGAGTACATTCCCACATCTTTTTCTGTCTACCCTTCTTTGGTGGTTCATTTCCATGCTCCTAATGAGCAGTCTAACCTTGGTGGGATGACCCGTGAGCGCATACGTTGTGTAGAGGTATGGCGCAGGGGTCCACCAAGGCTAGACTGTGCATATGTCTATCAAAATGATACTATACCTGGATTTGGTCGTTTGGCTGTTGTTCGGATTCTTCTTCTGTTCTCATTTAGATCAGTCTCAAAATTCATACATCAGTGTGCCTTAGTCAGCTGCTATAGCCCAGTGGGTGATGAGCCTGATGCGCACAGTGGTATGTGGGTCGTTGAGCCTGCTCAAAATGCAGATGGCACTCTTCAGCTTGTAGTTATTCCCATTCACCAAATAGTTCGTGCAGCACATTTGATTGGTCATGCAGGGAATGACCCTGTACCTCTTGATTTATTACATACAGATTCCTTGGATGCCTTCACTGCCTTTTACGTAAACAAGTACATAGATTACCATGCACATACGATAGAGTTGTAATTATACTTATATCTCTGTATGCTCAAAAGGAAAACAAAATATAGGACTACATGGTAAGAAATCTGAGTTGAAATGACAGACGATGTCTTAAAGATCAAGAACAGTGCTGGAAAAACAGAAAACTCCTGAACACAACAGACTGGTGTCAGGAGTGCCAGAGAATGACCTTTTGTATAGGACAGTGTGTTACAGAAAAGACATCTATCTGTAAAATCAGACACTGGTCTGAGTAACAAGGCACACAGCTGTAAAATCAGACATTGGTCTGAGTAACAAGGCACACAGCTGTAAAATTAGACACTGGTCTGAGTAATAAGACACAAATCTGTCATTGTAGGATAAGTGTCTTGTTATTTCAGACCAACCCCCAACAGACTAAGACACTGATATCAGACAAAGGCACCTCAAAGACATTCTTCGGACCACAATTTCAGACCAAGACTGGTAAGACACCTGCGCATAATGCTGATGGATCCGGTCGAGTCTTGACTGACTGGCGGATCCTGGCTGGCGGAAAGTGAACGAGCGTTCGTTGGGGTGTGCTTTGCGCCAGGAATCTTGAAGGTCCGTGAGCGAGAGCAGAGAGCTCAGCGCGCATGTCACTACGTCCACGTCCGCTCGTTCTGGGACTCTGTCCAGCGCGTTTTCAACCATGTTGAAATCGCCCAGCATTACTTCCGGGCGGCGGCACCCAGGTACGGCCCAGATCGCGTTGAGCTCATCCCAGAAAGCCGCATTTTCGCGTGCCGCATTGGGCGCATATACGTTTGCAATGGAGATTGACTTATCCTTGGACCAGGGCAGCAGGATTGTGGCTGCGCGTCCCGGAATTAAGTCCGCTAATTTACAGTCGCGCCCAGCGAGGTGTCGCTTACTTATTACGAAGGCAATGCCCCTGGCGGCGGCGCCGTTTTCAGGATCCGGAGAACCCAGGATGAGGAGCGAGGCTGCGAAGAGGGAATTGAGATTATCAATACGTTCGGGCGTGAGGTGAGCCTCCTGGACCGCCAGAACGGCTAGTCGCTTGTCTTTCATGACTTGGTTAATAAATAGCCATTTATCTGGCGCGCCTTGTACTGACGTGTGGCCGAAGCCTTTTATGTTAAGAGAGCCGATACGAAGGCGGCAGCGCGTCCTAGCGGGTAGACGCACAGCAGCCGCCTGGGGTGGAATAGAGGGAGAGGGGGTGTGGGTTGAGGGAGGACGCGGATTCACGTCGTGATTCCGCGTGCTACCGCCATTCCCGCTCAGCCCGTCATTCGGGACCGCCTGGGTAGCAGCAGCGCAGTCTCGTCCGGGCCGGGCAGGGCGCAGAGAACCGTTGACTGTCTGGTGATGTTCCGTATTGTTTATGTTATAGATGTTGTTACTAGTAAGTTCTAAAACAGATATAACGCGCTACTGATCTCCGCGATAGATCTCTCGAGATCTCCCTCTTAGCCACTGTCCTTGACGCCGTCATCTTTCTCTTTGTTCCGTTCGCCAACTTCCCTTTCACTCCCACCACCACCATCCCCTCCCGAGTTGCATTATGCCTCCTCGCAAGAAACAGCGGATCGACGGCGATGCATCGCTTCCTGTCGCAGTTGCGCCCCGCCGTACAACGAGGGCGTCCACTAAAGCTGCTCGCGCAGGCGGGGTCATTGTCGCCGAAGACCCGCCCAGTGGCGTCGCGAACAGGAAAGCGAAGGTAAAGATGACTGAAGACACGTCAAAGCGTGTCGTTCGCAAAGGCGGATTACTACCAACACTTCCCGACCTCGCCTTGGACGTCCAACTTGAGGCAAGCCGTACGGAGCTTTGGAGCGAGGGATAGCGGCTGACGCATGATGATTGATCTTCCAGATATACAACTATCTCGACGTGGTGGACTTGTACAATCTCGCGCGCACTTCCAAGAGGTTTCGCGCCTTCTTCTTGGACAAGATGCTCGAGAAGAAGCTGTGGGTACCGGCGCGGGCGAATACGCTCAGCATCCCCAGGGCGCCACCGTTTATGCCGAGCGAATATTCGTTCGTTCACCTACTGCTATCGCCTCATTGTCATGTACGCTCCATGCGCTCATTTCCTTGAGAAACCAATGCTGAAATCGTCACAGAACTGCGGCACGTCCAGTGTTCGCCAGATCTTGAACGGCTGTTTCGCGCGCTTGTGCACTACATGCTTACTAGAGCGGTAAGCCGGCAGCAGACCTTCCGAGCGTACAACGGTCTCCCTGACAGAGACGCCATAGGACTATTGGGTACGATGAAGCGTATGATAAAGCCCGGAAGATCAGCAAGGCTCTAGCGGACGTGCTCTTCAACATCTATACGGTTTCGAACTACTTCGCTGTCCAAAGATATTCGATGCAGTAAGTGAGACAAGGAACCGCGCAGTTTGAGACTCATGTGGCAATTTTGGATAATCTCAGACGTACATTCGACCCAAAGTACAATCGTCTTCTAAAGGGTCACGTCAATCGCGTTTTGAGGCAATACAAAGCCCTTCCAAAACCCATGACTGCCGAGGCTTTGATGTTATTTGTTGAACAGGTACAGGCAGATTACACAGACCGCTTTCCGGTACGCCCGCTGCAATCTGATCTCGTAATCTGCATAAATAAGGGCTCTTCGTTTTCGTTCCAGTACATCAATGCCGTACGCGCGTGGATGGACGAGCAAGAAGAGCAGAGGTTAGCACGTCTCGAGGACGCGAGGCAGCAACGTTTCAAAGAGTACGTTTGCTTTTGTACTGAGAGAACTAAACCGCGTTGACGATGGCTTGACTCTGCCTCGAAGTATCCTTGTCAGATTACGAGGTTCTGGCTGGGAGAAGGACGTCGACTTCATGCGTGAAGAAGAACTGGAGACCATGTTTAATTTACCCGTTGTTCGACAGTCGTCCAAGTTGACTGAAGGAGGTAAGTATACTTCGTACCTGTTACCCGTGTGCATGCTCATTCGGTGTACAATGCAGCGTGGCAGAAAGTGTTGGTCGTACTCGAAGAATTCTTCAAAGATATTCGAGAGAACCGCCTGAACTATGAACTTCGGAAGTGTTGAACTTCTGTGTCTACGGCTGTGCCGGACCGGGAGTGGCAGTGATAGTGGCTGTGCGTCTACCATACGCCAGCATGGACTTTTCCTACTTACCATATACGTACATTCTTTTGTTCTGTACTTACTTGGCATCCTGCCATCCCTCCATATGATTCTGGTACGTTCTACGATGTTCCGGACTATTCTAGACAGTGTCCGGATTACTCGCATTACTCAGCCATGGACTATCTGACCTTATGTCGATTATGCTCTCTTACTCAGCGTTACTCATCGCTCAGTCAGCGTCCTCTGGACGTCACATGCCCTCTTCCTATACGCTTACTCATCGTCCTCCCCAGTAGTATATAAGGAGGACTCTGCAGGCCTCTGCTCTTCAGTCGTTCTCTCACAGACTGAAGACCTCTCTTTGTGCGGCTTACAGCCTTCCAGGTTCAGAAGTTCATCAGGTTATGAGCCC